ACTTTCGAAGCTGAGAGTTGCCGAGCCTTGATGGGCTTTCTAGTTTCTCCTCTTACCCTGACTGCATAGGTATACCGTACGCACCACGAAAGCCATTCTTTGACGTACACAGGAATATTGCAAGTATGAGGGAAATTTTTTTCACCTCTCGTTTGTCCCCAACTTCTTACAAGTCGTTGCTTGCAATAGGCGGGCGTGTTGGGCGGCCATGGAGCATCCGACGCGACCCGCACAAGTCGCCGCTTCGTGGAGCAACCTAGACGACAGTGCCTCGCAGGCTGCATGTTATGCAGTAGTCGCTGGAGACCCTCCATGGCATCGACCACAGGCAGACGAGCAGACACAGGCATACATTGATTATGGAGACAGCCCTCGACAGCTAGACTGCCCAAAGCACCTAACGCCGTTGTCATACGCCGATGGGTTGTCCATCCCTCTACTTAGTAAGTGGTCCGTTAAGCTTGGCGAAGCGTACATTACAAAAATAGAGAACATAATATCCTAATTAGGCTCGGTGCTACTGCATAGCAAGCAGCGTCCTGCTTACTTAGGGTATACTTTATAGTAAATAGTTATGAGACAATGATGCTGCAAAGTCGAGGCAGGATTCATTGTTGCTTCTATGGGTAGCCTACAGTACAGTACATTCGAATTGCGGATGATTAGCTCAGCAAAGGCACAACTACATTACTATGGTTAGATGCCAGTACGTGAGTGACTGTCGTTGATGCAAACTAGAAACTCGGGAGCGGCCCTGCCGAGTAGAAAAGATGAGCCCCAGGCGAAGGCGGTAGTTTGTGCATGATAGCATACCGGTATTTACACTCAGCTCAGTGCTGTATGACTTTGCTCACCACCAGAAGAACAGCCTTGGAGACCCTGGTAACCCAACGCACTGGGGCACCTTGCTCTGGAAACACACTACGCTCCATCATCCTCATCGGTATGATTACATTAGGTACATACTTACTAAATACGTAGTAAGGTATCGGTACCGGTAGTAAGTGAAAGTTGAAGGAGTTGTGTCACTACCGCAAGTATGTGTGGTAAGAATGACGAGTCGTTCCTGAAGAGCCGCTACAATTATGATTATCCGAGACGACAGTAACAACGACAGTGACAATGACAATGACGACTTATGGGTGACGCTCTAGGATAAGAAACCCGAACTTGCCGAACCGTAATCCACCTTGAGATACCTACTGTACACTACAAGCCGAAGAACTACTAGAGTATGTACAAACCACGATTGCATGATACGTACGCATAGGGTATCTAGACAGCGACGTACGCAGACTAGAGAGCTGTTGATGGCATAGATCGTATGTTCTGATACCACTCCAAGGTAGGTATTCCATCCATGCATGCCCTACCAGACCGATACCACACCATGCGTGCGAGGTAGTGGAGTCTCGTCGGGCTCAGTCAATCAGCTCGCTTGCTATGCACGCATCCAAGACGTACGTACATATAGCATGCAGCAGCATGCGTCGAAGTGTGAGTCAACGCAGTGGTACCACCAGGGAGAGAAGGCAAAGCGGTTGCTAGATGGACATGTAGTTAGTTGTACTCGGCATAGTTGGTCGAGAGCAGTACTTTACTTACTTACTTACATCCCTACTATGTATATGGTAGGTGAGTAAGTAAGTAATCAGTTGGCTGGGCTCTGGCTTGGGAAGGGAACGATGTGCGTCATCCCTGAGACGTTCTACTGCCGGTATATTCTCCTCTGCAATGTCAAGATGCTTCAATCTAGAGAAGCAGTGCAGATATCAGTATATAGGAATGTCGAATTGGTTCATTGCCAATCGGATCTGCTGGATTAGGTAGCATACCGGTAGTTTGAAGTTTACCTACTTTTCCCTCCATTACTTGGAACGGCAGATGCAAAACTACCACAATAAGGTTCGAGCATGATGATAGAAAATAAGCATAAAAGCGCCCATGGGCCGTTACCCGCGTAGAGCCTGGGGAAAGGGATGCTCCCATCGACATACATACATTACTTACACGTGTATGTCAATGACCGAGCCGAGAAGCACATGGTATCAACGTGAAGAGGGTACCGGCGAAATTTGGTCAATATCAAGATCAGGGTCAACAGATACCTACCTACCTACCTACCTACTACATGGTGAAAGACGAGAAGAAGGACGGTATCAATTATAGGAATGTGAACGGGCTGAACAAGGGCAAAGCACAGCAAGCCAGCGCAAGCAAGCAATACAACGCCGAGCTGCGCAACAACGGCAGGGTTGGCCCTGGCGCGCTCCGAGCCGGCAGGTAGGTACATGGGCTGGTGGTCCCTTGTACTCCGGGGGGTATGCATCTTGTGACCTAAAACCCACTCGTTCTTGTGGAACCGGCAGTGGGGATTTCCAACGGCGGGCCAATCGAGTCCCCGCGAACAAGCCACAACCTAGATCGAAGCTCCTTACCTAGGAACTTGGCGTAGCTCAGTGCCCCCCTGTGCAGCTAATAAAAAGCCACCAGAAACTCGTCTGCGCAGACGCGAGGTAGAGCTACAGTCTCGTCTTGTATCTTACATAGTACCTAGGTACCTAGGTACAGTCAAGTTGTAAGTAGGCGAAGCACATACGTGCTTCCGAGCCAAGATGAGGCTCCTTCATTGATCGACCAGACACGCTCGAGAGCTGCTTGCTTGGGTATCGTTACCCACGATATCTTGAGACTCTACTGCTGACCTGACATACCTCTACCAATATGGAATCTGTAGGTTATGGTAACCACCTAGGCAATAGTGTAGGTATTCAATATTTATGCCCACCTACAGTAAGTACGCCATTCCACTGGGTACACCATTAGATACCGTGGGGGCTAAATCTTGTTATAACTGTGCCGCGATGGAACCTCGACGGCTGGTGGAAAATGCCGCCGATCGTGCCCTTTTTTAATAGGAATCTTCCAAGAAGGAAGCAAGCCATGCCGACAGTGTAGTGCGATGCGGTTGCTGGAATCACTCACACTGCTAACGGATTGTGCTGATATCTTCTCAAGATACTACTACTGTACTGCTTGCTATACGTGGATGTGAGGTTATAGGTACTTTATCGTGATGGGTCTTACTTACAAGTAGTATGCGCTTGTCTTATCAGGCTGACTGGGTCTGGTTATTTCTAAATCAAGCGTGACTTGAGAACGGTCTGGTTACTTGAATCAATGAAAAGAACCTATGATCGACCGCAGGACATGCCCATAATTACACACTGATCTCTTTCTGTACCTCTTCGAAGCTGGAGCATCCCGATTTTTAACCAAATGGCGCTCTTCATTCTAGGCCATTCTGTGATTAAGAGGAAGATCTGTTTGTTGGCTCGTGTGCGACTGTATCTACTACTTCGTAAAGCGCAGTTAATTGTAAGATTCAGCGCGAGTTTCACGCCCCAATTGGAAAAGATATGCGTTGTCGTTCTTGTTGAAGGAAAGATACCTACTACCTACTGTGTAAGTACAAGTACTACGTTACGACGCTTACGCAGTAGGTAGGTAAACAACTACAACACGTAGCAGGAACTACTTGAGTCGACTGCGATGAGTACCTATGGATACCTTCACTCACCACACTCTCTGCACAGAAAATAGCTGCAGGCCTCTATGCCCACTTGTAGGTCTCATGTAGACTATCCGATCCGGAAGTACTGTCGATATCCGATATCCATCAACGGCATTCGGGATTGCACCGCCATGGACGAGTTATGCAATTATGAAGCTTTCCCATCCACACGTGCAGCAGCCGCCGCCTACATGTACCATGTACCATGTACAATGTACAATGTCGCCCAATTGAACGCCCCTTCATCTCTCTCACTGGCAAGCTCCCCACCTCTCTCAGCTCCCCTCCCCCTCCTCTGCCCCCCCCCTTGCCCCTCCTACCTTCCTCCCACCTCCCACCTCTCACCTCACGCTCTTCGCAACCTTAATTCACACAGGCGCGCTCGCTCTCTCTTTCTTTCTCTAAATCTATATATATATTTAAGCGTACCTACGCTTATAGACAGACATCCATCTACCTAAATTGACATCTATTGCACTGTAGTCAATATAATCCGGCAGCCCGTATCAGGTGCTATACCTTAGATACCTAGTATTGACCCTGGGCAGGTAGCTGAGGGACTACCTACTCTAGGTAGGTACTGTAACATAGCCCAGGGCCCCCTACAGTGTCTGTATCGTTCTGCCTGCCGACTTACGTAGCATTACCTTAAAGTAGGTATGTGTAGGTAGGCTCTCTCTCTCGCGTATCAACCAGCCGTCTGTCTTTCGACCTCCAGGGCCCCAGAACGGCGCAATTACTTCGTGGGTACAGTACATGTTAGGTAGGTATTGTTCCATGTTAGTAGGGGCAGCCAGCATATGCCCGCTATCCACCTCCCTAACTAACTGCCTGTACACCTGTACCTACTCGCCTACCTAGGTACCTACGTAGGTACCTACACACTGCCTGCCCATCCGCCTACCTCTTACTACCGGCCTACCTACCTATAATCTACCCAACCTACCGTAGGGATCTGTGATTTCCAATCATTCGCTTTACCCAGGAATCATTGCTCCAGCCCGTCTTCGACTGCTTTGCCTGAATCACAGACTCGCCTTCTCACCCACGGTCCACGGTTCTTGGCCGTTGGAAGATTCCTTTTCTCCCCCTTCTCTTCGCTGCTCCTCTTTGTGTGCCAGTCCTCCGTCATGTCCAATTCGTCGCCGCCCGTCGCCTCAGCTCCCGCGAACAACGCTAGCAACGATGATTCTGGTATGCCCACCCACTACACACGCGCACACACACACACACACACAGACAGACAAGTGGGAGACCAAGAGAAAGAGGGAGAGGCAGAGGCAGATTGGACCGCCCCCCTTTCTGCCCCTCCATCCCTCCATCTCAGCTCCCCTCCTCAGTTGATACCTATCGATCTGAAATCCATAACACAACTCCATCATTCCATCCATTACATTGACCCATCCCCTCTATTTACGTCTCCTGTCCCTGATTGTCACTGATTAGGCTAGTGGAGAGCCTGCGACACATGGGATTCATAACCTTCTCATTCGTGGTGATTACTGACAATGACTGCCAATGCTCCAGCATCCACCATTACCGTGAATACGACCACCAAAGCTCCCACGCCTGCTTCTGCGCCCCCGCCCTTTCCACCACCCAAGACCGACAAGCCGCGCCCTCATGTTTGCGCTACTTGTCAACGCTCCTTCGCACGCCTCGAGCATCTGAAGCGACATGAGCGTTCCCATACCAAGGAGAAGCCTTTCGAGTGTCCCGAATGCACGAGATGCTTTGCCCGCCGGGATTTACTGCTGCGTCACCAGCAGAAGCTTCACCAGTCGACAACCCCTTCCTCGCGCCCGAGAAATCGACGAGAGAGCACTAGCAGTACCGCTACTGCCCAAAGCCGCGCTCGAAAGAACAGCGTCGCCGGGACAAATGTTGCTGCTACCACCGCTTCTGCTGCCAATAATGGCTCGATGCGCCCGCGGGCAAATACCATCAGCCACGTCGACCCGAATCATGTACAGATGATCGCTGCTGCGAACGCTTCCGTGGCTCGGAGCCAGCACATGCCTGCCGCCCACCATAACCGTCATCAGAGCCTGGCCAGCTTGCCTATCCAGAACATGGACCACCCGTTCGCAGGCATGTCCTCCGTCATGGGCCATCGCGGCATGGGCCATGGCCTACCCAAGCTTGAGACCCACGGGATGCATACTATGGACTTCAATGCCGGTTTGCGTACAGCACCGCCATTGCCGTTTCCAAACGAGTTTGATTTTGAGCAGCTTCTGTTCGGCCAACCAGGCTCAACCATAAACCCAAATGCACTACATTATACCGAGTCTCCTCACTCCATGTCGATAGATCCGACCTCGCCGTTTGGAAATGGTATGACGGATATGTCAGCTAGCCAACATGTCGATGATAGTTTTGACTGGCTCACTGGATTCGAGCATACTATGTCCTTCAATACCAACCAACATGAGAATGCCATTGGCGGATCCTCTCCTTCCGCAATGAGCACGACGAGCCAAAGTGGTATCAGCGACGTTATGCTCGATGGTTCTAACAACACGACTATGCCGGCTGCTACGAGTTCCATATGGCAGCCTGCGCTCATGGGACCTCCTCAAGCTGGAAATCCATTTTCTCTGGACGGTCTCAGCGGGGTTTTCCCAGACTTGTTAAACGGTGCTCCCGTATCCCCCCAACCTTCGAACCAAAAGACGATGAATGATGTTTATTTCTCTACACCGCCCTCTACTATGAGCTCGTTGAGCCCTTCGGTTATGCCGGGGCTGACAACTCAAAATATGAATCAGGCCCTGAATTTTGGTCCCAGCCGGGAGACTGTAACATCCGTGGGTGGTGGTCACCAATCCCACTCACCGGTGGCAACAATCACCGATGCCACACGGAGTGCCATACTTAGCGCTCTCTCTCAGTGTACAGTCATGAACAACAATCGAAGATATTCTTTCACTTCCCCCAACTCACCTTTGTCCCCCCAAGTTCAACCCTGCTCAGATAGTATGGCCGACATCGCTAAAAACCTGCCAAGCACCCAAGATCTACAGCGATATGTCGGCAGCTATCTTCAATATTGCCACCCGCATTTACCATTCCTACACATTCCTACATTGTCTTTTGATATGCCACCCGCTCCAAGTGGGCGAGCCGGTATCACTGGTGGCAGTGGGTGTCTGATTTTGTCCATGGCCGCAATTGGTGCGCTGTATGAGCTCGAGCGACCTCAGTCTAGAGAATTGTTCGAGATGGCCAAGAAGATGATCCAGTTATATCTCGAGGAACGACGAAAGGCCGATATGCGCAAGGCTGATTTCCGACGAACGCCTGCATCTGATCAGGGTACACACGGATCTGACTCCTTCGTGCACACTCCATTGTGGCTCGTCCAGGCCATGTTACTCAACGTTGTATATGGCCATAACTGCGGTGATAAGATCGCCAATGACATTGCCTCTACTCACTCTGCCGCGCTAGTAAGCTTAGCCCAGGCAGCTGGTCTGCTGCGACCCTTGCAACTGGATTCTCCAGAACTTCGTGAAGTCCAAGCGAATGATGCAGAGGGGAACTGGAACAGCGGCGTAAAATCCGAAACGGAAGAACAAGCAGAATGGCTGCGATGGAAGACTATGGAGGAACGCAAGCGAACACTCTATATCATCTTCATACTATCAAGTCTTTTAGTGACAGCCTACAATCATCCTCCCGCACTAACTAACTCAGAAATCTTGCTTGATCTGCCTTGCGATGAAGAGTTCTTTGCTGCGGAGAGTGCGGCAGCATTCCAACTTAAGGGCGGCGCTCGAGCTGCCAATCATAACCGGATGACATTCCATGAAGCATTGGGGGAATTACTGCTCACTAACGAGAAACAGCAGAAACTCGCTTTCAGCAACAGCCAACCATTTGGACCTACCGTCAACCTCCACGACATATCAAAGAGCGAGCTGAAACCAAGCACGCTCGGTTGCTTGGTCCTGATCAATGCATTGCACAATTACATTTGGGAAACCCGACAGCGCCATCATAACAAGGTCTGGACGAATGAAGAAACCGATAAAATGCACCGTCATATCGAGCCTGCCTTAAAGGCATGGCAGTCTGCTTGGGCTAGTAATCCACATCATAGCTTGGAAAGGCCAAATCCTTTCGGCATGGGCCCATTGTCAGCTGATGCTATCCCTCTCCTTGATCTAGCCTACGTTCGCCTCTTTGTAAATATGGCGCGGACGAAAGAAAAGTTCTGGCAGCGCGACTGGGAAGGTCTGGCTGAAGAGCTGTCACGTGGAGCAGAGATCATTCAACATGCTGAACATTCTCCCGCATCCAACGCTGAGTCGATAACCGATCCATCAGATGCATCAGCTACCAGCTCTGTTTTTGTTGACTCGCCACCTACTCAATCCTCCTCGCCCGAGTTCTCTGCCGTTAAATTCCCTTCTGCCTTGCCAACACAGCCACAATCGCAATCCCCAAGTTCTAGCCGGATCGTCTCACGCCGAGAGAAGCACTTGCGCAAGGCTGCGTTTTACGCCGCCGATTCACTTTCCATGTCCGATAAGCTAGGGGTAACATTTGCAGAGTTCACTAGTCGAGAACTCCCTGTCCAATCAGCCATGTGTTCTTTTGACTGTGCTCAGGTTCTTGCCGAGTGGATCTCAACTCTCCAAGACCGTGTGGGTAGATACGTGGGTATACTTGGGAAGGATGACGTTGATGTGACTGCAATACCTGCTGTGATGCTTCTAGAGGAGGAAGACATAAAACTCATTGTCAAAATCCAAGAGCTACTGGCAAGTGCTGAGATGAAGCTGGGTATTGACTTGGTGAATGGTACTGCAAACGGGGCGTTTGATCCTCAGTTACAACTCGACGTAATGGGCGGTTATGCTGCCAAGATTCTACGTGTTACGGCCTACATGCTAGATAAGTCGGCCGTATGGCCAGGTAAGCTGACCCACTGTGTTTTGGCTCAACGATGCTAAATGCCTTTCAGTTCTCAATCTCATGGCACGCTGCCTCGAGACACATGCGACGTTGGCGCGAAGCAGGGCCGAAAAGTCAGTCTTAGCTACTGAGTAGAGAATGAGGGAACAAGCCTCTTGTAATCCCCTGCTAAATGAGCCCCGCCGCCGCCATCAACATCAAGTGCGTGCCGTAATGGGAATCGAGCAACCTGCTCTTTGGCTGCTACAATATGCTGCGCAGTGACTTCCGCGCAGTCGCCTGGGCAGTCGATTGGCCGAATATCAACTTGCTCGGCTCCTCTAGGTGTTGGTCTGCTAGCTCTGCACAATTGAATTTCAACCGCTCTCGATGAAGAATGCGGGTTTTCATCAACTTTTAAACTAGGACAACAGACGGCCTCTTTTCATGATGGGTACCCTTAGCCAAGCTAGGGTACCCGATCATATAAGGTTTTTCTTCGTTCGGCGTCGTCTTGCAGCATTCTAGCATTGGTTGCATTTTATTTTGCCTTGCGTTATCTGTTTAACGTAGTACCCTCTGAAAGCGATGCTTATAAATTCTAGTGACGAGGATATCACGACTGGCTGTGGACTGGACGAGCTATGTTTTGAACGAATCAATGATTCGCTGTCTTGATGTGAAGTATCATTTTGCGAGAGCCGAATGATTCTAGATGGAATCCCAACCGAAGTGGAAGATACGATACTGTAAGAATCTGCAGCCTTTTGGTGTCCCAGGCGCCTTAAACCCCAATTCACACATTGCTTTTCCGAGCTCGAGTTGAATTGGGATGTCGGACAGCCGTTGGAAGGGAGGAAAATGAATGAATATGAGAGGCATTGGAGGCATTGTACATGGTGTCTTCCGTTATTATGGCCGGGAGTTTTTGGCGCGAGATCCAAATGACGTGAGGATGGAGCGGACACACAAGGACCAGTGACTTTCTCACGGTGCCTCAATCGGCACATGGATCATCACGGTGGTTGGAGGGCCGATAACGAATCTGAATTACCCAGATCAGCTGACCAACTGGGTAGCTAGATTCAGAAACGGAACAGCCTCAGCGGTGTTTAACCGATTTATGGGCAACGCAGGGAAAGGAACAGGATTCCGTTTCCTTCCGCAGCTACTGCGGGACCTCTTTATAGATAGGGTAAGGAGTGTTCTTCACGTGTCACTCTGGATATCAAAAGGGGGTTTTTGCAACACGATTAGGGGGAATCAAAAACAAGCAGCAAAGCTCGTTGGTGTATCTTGAAGTCCTGCACGGCTGTTTGAATTGCGCCCATTTGATACAAAGGCGCAGATTATACCTTCCAAGTAGCATAAGTAGCCAAAGGAAATGATGTTCATGAACAGTTGATGATTTGTCTGTTGTCCTCTTCGTCGGGGTCTACGTGTTATCTGAAATTCATCTTATCTGAGTGCTGTGTACCGGGATATTTTGTCGTTACCAAGAAGTTACATACAGTTCGCCGCCGCCCCAAACAAAATAAATAAATAAGATGGGTACATATAGATTACACACTCATTTCCCCGAGTTTACCTGACCTGGCAAGAGCTAACACCTAACAAACGTACTGCTAAAAGCTGCGATCGTAAGTAATACTTTTGAGGTCTCCGGGTCATTATAGAAGATGAACATGAAATTAAAGCAGCTGTTGTCGGGCGCCCAAAACCTACCTGGGCCATCAATCAATCAATCAATCCATCAATCCATCTTGCCCTTCTCTAGATCATTGCTGCTGCTGCCGCCGCCGCCGCCGCCGAGGATACTAGCCCCCGAAGTGCTCGTGCTCGCGCTGTTCGAGGTGACGCAGTAGCTGAAGTCGACGACGCCGACGAGCTTGCTGACGCTCTCGACGAGGCCCTCGAGATCGTCGCACACGAGGGTGCTGCACACTTGCAACACGGCGAACTCGGCGTACCCGGCCTGCGTCATGTTGCGCGCGTCGAGGAGGCTCGTGGCGGCTGGCGCGATGGTGTTGATGCCCGAGGAGGAGGAGGAGGAGGAGTCGCTTTCACTTTGGCTTCCGCTTCCGCTGCTGCTGTCTTCTTCTGCGCTGGGCATTGTCGCGCAGAGGGTCTCGAGCTGGCGCGTGAGTTCGTAGGGTCGGGGCACTTTCAGATGCGGCGGGATGGAGTGCCCGGACTGCAGGGCGTTCGAGAGCAGCGTCAACGTGCTGATGATGCTGTGCTGCGTGGGCGAGATGTCCGCGAGTAGCACCGCTAGCGCATCCCGCCACGAGCGGGCGTTGGCGCCGTCGCATCTGTGGCCCCCGGCCGACTTGGAGTCTGGGGCCGCTGCGTCCAGGGCGTCCGTGAGCGTCATACCCGCTGTGCCCTTGCCCCCGCCGCCAATGGTGTAGGACAGCAGCGTCAGATACGAGTTGATGCGCGACGCTCGGAGGATTATGTCCTCGTACAGGTCGCGCGGGAATTTGCCGCCGACTGTGGGCTCCCACTTCTGGAAATCCGCGTGCTGCTTCAACGAGGGCAGGAGCAACATCAGCTTACCGAACAGGCGAGTGCGATGTTTCGCGAGCTGGTGGGCTGGGGTGCCTTTTACGTTGCGGTCGCCGCCTGTGCCATTGAGCTTGCTCTTGAGCGTCCCGTTAATGACGCTGAAGTAATTGGCGAGCAGGTACAAGGTGACCGCGAGGTCGCGGCGTAGCCACGTCCGTTCGGTCACGGGAGATGGGAAAATGGTCCAGAAAAAAGCGACCAAACAGCCAGCCGCGACAATCGCCAGTCGATATGGCGCAAGTTCGTATATCCTGTCAAGGGGTTAGTATATGGACAGATAGCTAAGCGGGTTGCTATGGCCTACGGATAGAATGGCTGCCCTGTTGACTCGGACGCTGCTATACCAATTTTCACCACTTGCAATTCATATCCGATAATCAGAACTTGTGTTATCATGCAGAGCACGACAGCGGGTGTCAACTGTGGGAACTTGATTAGGAAATAGAGGGACAGAGCTTGGAACAGATACATGAACACAAATATGCCCGGGACCTTCTCATCAACGATGTACCAAGTGATTAGTGTGAGTACGACGGCAACAAGAGTCCCGCCAATTCGGCAAAGGAAGCCGAAAATTGATTGCCCCGAAGCTACAGACAAGTGTTGTTGTTAGTATATATGATATGTGTTGGGGCTTATAAATGAGAAGAACAAGGGGCACAACGAACTTTGTGTCATCCCGATAGCTATGATAATCATAGCCCATACAAGTCTTTGCTCTTGGAAGAACACATGCGTATTTTCGAGAAAGGCGACGATTCCAATAGTCAAGGTAGCACAAGCACAACGGAATCCAAACGCCGATTCCTCGGACGAAAAGAACCTCGAGACGGCACGCAAGGCATTGCCTGCGTGCTGCCAGGCGTTCGTCGGCGGTAAGTGCTCCGGATCCCGCTTGTGGGCAAAGCTATCGCCCATGTAGATGATGGCCATACCCCTCTCGAACAAGTCCGCGTCGTTCTCCTGGCCTTTGTCTTCGTCGCTGAAGACGCTCGAGATCCACTTCCGGAGCACCCTCGGTTTGGGGACCATCAGTCGTTTGGATGACATCGTGCCGTCGGCTACTTTGGAGTCTGCGAACTGGACAAATCGTAGAACTCCATCGCCGGCTGCTTCCATCTGCACTACGTCAGTATTGTTTTTAACGAAGATGTACTGAAACGCGCTGTTTTCACAATTCGGTGTTGAATTTACCCCGGAGCCTTGCATAGGTCGGCGGAGCGTGGGGTTTGCTCTACTCTTTGAGATACGCGTATAAACTTAACAAATTCTTACCAGAGTCTCAATGTATAGTAGAACGTAGAGTTGTTCTTGATCCCTGTGATGGCGAGCAGCCATTGGGAATGATACGCTGGTGACCCGTTGAAGCGACGAGCCACTTGTCAAGAGACCCTTTTCTTTGGCCCAGGTATGCAGAATTGAGGTTCGAATATCGCGGAAGCATTGAATTTTCTTTTTGAGGGCTTCTTCGAACCCCGGATCACCGGGTTGAATAAGGTCACCTCTTGACTCGCAATCACCATGCATGGCGGATCCATCGGTGTTGTGCTTGTTATTCTTGGATGGCTTGGGGCGAGGAAGGAGTTCCAGTAGCACTCCGGCATGCTGTAGTCCCTCTGAGATGGCAGTGGAAAGCTTCTCGAATGGTTCATGAAGTTGCTTCATGACTTCGTTCCAAACCCTTTTGTCTTCCATCTTCTCAGCAAGAACGTCTAGGGGCGTCTCGGAGTCGGTAATCCACCCACGTTTCTCGGCCAGCCGCTGGAAGATATCAATCACAGTACCAATGCCGTGAATCGGGATCACGACACCTCGACAGAGTTCCAAGATTGTACTTAAGTCCTTAGGCGGTAATTTGGCCCACGCTATGTCTCTTTTAGCAAATGGCATATCTGCGTGAATCTTACTCGTCAGGAGCCTCAATTTGAACATAGTTTCTTTAATAGCCTTTCCCTCGGCAGTTGACTTGGACTCAGGCTGCGCCTTGTGCTTCTTTTGCTTTTTCTTGCTCTTTGCTTCCTTGTCGATTTTTGAGCTGTCCGAAGTGCTTTCAGAATCGGCACTCAGATGCGTCGCGGCGCAGATATCAGCCGGAACAGCAAACATGTCCTCTCTTTCCAGGCTCTGCAGATACGCCTTCTCTTGCTTCACAGCCCCCTGGAGGAGCTTGAGGAGACCGCCGATCTGGGCGGTTGAGACGGCACGGCTTGGGACTGGAAGCACTAATAAACAAATAGCGGTTGCGATAGCAAAGCCGGTTAGCATTGCAGTCAACAATCGTCGGACGATAGCCTCGAAGGCGGCATTGCTAGTGATCTGTGGGCTGAAAGTGCACAGAATATTTGTCATAATCGAGTAGACAATGCTCGGTATGTTCAGATTTGGGTACTTTGCACGAAGCGTATTCACAATCCATATATTGGCGAACAGCCACACGGCAGACACGGCCGATTGGCTCGAGTTGTAAGCTGCCGGTACGGTCTCCGTGTGGAGGCGCGCTTGCAAGGACGACCACAGGATTAGGAGCGCGACAGCAGATCCAATGCCCAGGAATAGCAGATTCAGAATCAACGTCTGTACAAACTTTCCGCGAGGAAGCGCACTGAGCGAGAGCACGGCGATGACGGCTACCAGGTATCCAAAAGTTGAGAATTCCTGAGCCACAGCGTCGGACTGGTATATGGCCAATCCGACGACGGGAGCAAGTGCGCCTCTGCCATGATGTTGTCAGTGCTGATGCTAAGTAGACATGTGTGTTGAATTTACTGGCGGCATTTTTGTAGATATCTACATCCGCGTAGGTAGGCATCAATGGCCAAGTTTACTCTATATCTAGCACATGATGCTGATGCTGATGATGAGATGGGAACAAAACTAGAGATAATGTCTTACTTGAACATGGCGATCAGGGTAGGGACGTCGAGGCCCAACTTGGTCACGAGTCCCATGATGAGACCCGGTTTTGGCTGGGGTTGGGGCTGTGACTGTAACTGTGGAGGAGGCGCTTGGCTGACGTTTGGTTTGCCATCCTTTTCCCTCTCATCATCGTCCATGTCGACGCGTTTCGGAATGATGTCATCCTGTTGCCCAGGCGAGCTGTCGGCCATTGTGGATTATTCGCAGGTGGCTAGATATCGCACGCGCGTCTCGGAGAGAACAAGAGCAGCGAAAGAAATGGGCGGATAATCAAACAAATACCGTCTGCATTTACGAATCGAATTGGATTAACCTTGGATTGGTTTTGATTGGAGAGTCCTGCAGTACATGGGAGCGGCCCCGCCACCAAAACCAACAACGAAGATCAATTCATATTTTCATATCTCATATCTGCATAGTAACAATTAGCGCATACTAAAGTATACTGTGCATACATTCCGTTATTTTAAATTTAGCACTTATTTATTTGACTTGAGGAGAGTGGACCTAAGTACAGTAGGTAGATGAGTGTGTAGATTTGCAAACCAAGGGGCCTATACGCTACCTAACTCATCCTGCGTTGGCTACAGCAAAAAAAAAAACTAAAAAAAACTCTGCATCGGCAAAGGACATACAGGATGTTACAAAAGCAGTATGTTGATACGATTCCCTCTCTACCTACTTTGTTTGTAACCCTCAGTGAAATTACCGGTGCTGCTTCGGGGCTGGCACGCGCCCATCTATCCCCTTCGCCACTACGAAGTAAGTAAGGCCATGGCCATGGCCATGACTAAGAACCCAACAACCATCACCAATCAGCCCTACATGACAATCCCCTGTATCCTTGGGGAGTCCCTCCTGATCGATTTAGAGCCTCGGAACAGCCGATACCAAATTCAACGACATACGCAGTATACATACAGTACCTAGGTAGTATATACTATGGAACCTACTCCTCCTCCACTCAAAGTCCACCCTTGCAACACTTAGGATGCTCTTATTGATGTACCGGTATTTGGCATCCTACCTCGCATTCAATCACCTCCCGAGTGCCAAGTTGCTGATTAGTCTTTGCTTTTTCTCCCCTTTGTGGCAGCTTGGCCACCAGTATAATCGCAGATATCAATCATATCATGATACGAGACCCGTGCATTGTCTTGGCAATCTTCCATTGGACTGTTAGGTGGAAAGAGGAGGTGAGGAGGGGTAGTGGCTGCTACCGCCTTTGCGATGGAAATGCATGAGTGACTGTTTAGATTACCTACCTAGTAGTGAAACGGCCGAGGCATATCTAGGTAGTAAACTAACTCAAGAATCCTAGTGTGGAAATGACCAAGTATGACTTCGAAGAGTCTATTCAAGGAGTGCTGGCATACATATTTAGGACATTTATGTCATGACTGCCTGAAATCATCACAGGCGAGTAGCAGAGACAATTAAGTATACTTGAGACTTGAGTTCGATTTATTTTGGTATTCTGGAGGCCTGCGTTGGAATCTAGGCCCATTGAACTTAGCACAAGCAACGAAACTTTGCCAAATCATAATAGCGGTGTGGCGCAAATGCCAAATACTTACAGGTCACCAAGTTCTCTATTCATCAATGCTCTGGTTATCATCGACACTTGTATTGCATAGTCCTACAAGGACAGGCGTTTTCATCCGACAGACTCGATACTTGACGAACCAACTTAATGCGTAGTAGTAACGTAGGAATTTCGTTTCTTGTCGCGAGAGCATCTGATCAGGTCCCGAGACACGATCTGTGCCCGATGAATCAAAAATGATACAGAAAGGCAAAGCACGAAGGAGGAAAGGATCTCACGGACTTTAACCCTCTTGACGCATGATACTCTGAGGTCAAGACAGGACATGGCTGTCGACTCGAGGTCCAGGGACGCAGCCATTTCCCTGTGAGGAACGATGTACCCAACTTGAGCGAGCGAGTGTGTAGAGTCTCGTGTTGATACGCAGAAGGCGGCTAAAAGGTATGGCTACACGCATTTTTTGGGTTAGACTGCTCTCCTCTTGACTGTTCCGTCCCGCGTGCTCTCTTTCGCCCAGGCTCTACTTCATGAGTCGGCTCCTTTGCGTCTTCAGGGACCTTTTGGAGATCATATAGTAGATAACCCGGAACCATAGTTAGTATATCCTATATAGGGGAAGTCGGCGGCCATCTAAGCGATTCGTTATCCATAATGCCGAGATGCCTGAGATCAATTGATAGCATAGTTCTACGACCAGATGCCTTGCTCAGTTCAAGGCAAACGGATATAAAATAATGAAAGAACTTACTTCTTGTGATGCTTGTGTAATATCGTGTTGCCTTCTTGAGGAGCTACTGCGGGTAGAGGCTGTTTGTGAACGAGCCTTTCTAGGTGTTCCCTGTCCCTGTCACGGTTTGAATAGCTAAGAGTGTCAAGAATAAGAATGTGCTCTTCTCTAGCGGTGGTCGGAGACTAGTCCGGTGTTAGTCCGTATGGTGTATTACATTACATTGATTTGATGATTGATAAAGTGGCTGCGGAACTCAGGACTGTAGGGTACCTGCAAAATGAAGCAAGATCATGCGCTAATTTAGGCGACCGTCAACGACGGAATGTATGTGTAAATATAGGGTACGACAGGTGTATAAGCATCTCGTAGAGAGGAGCCACAAATTTGGAAGTGAGTAGTTGCGGGATTGGGTGGGTATAAAGATAGATTGAGGATAGAATTGTAGATCCAGAACCAAAAACGAGTGAGCCCAAACGTAATGAGACATGAAACAGCGAATATTAATTCGACCTACCTTTTCGAGTGCCATTAGCCTGAATGGTATGTTGGCGGGTCGAACGTGTGAGATGATGATTGATGAGGTAGAGACTCGTTGACAATTTGGAAATAAGCGTGCAGCTGAGAAGCTCGATATCACTAAAAAGTTGAATAAGAGCAAGCAAGGTACAGAACCATCTACTCAGGAACCGAAACATTAAAAGGAGAAGTGGGCACATAACTGCTGAGCTGGAAGTGGAAGTTGAAGTGAAGGGTGGAAGAGGAGTTGGAGGAGGCGAATGTAGAAGAGAGATTAGAAGTGGCGTGAATATGACAAGATGACTGAGGTATAATACTTAGGTACTTAAATATAGCTTGGCAAGAACATGAGAAAGCCAGGGAATACAGTGACAGTATAGATGCTCAGGAGGTTGAAGTACGAGAACTGTTTGCCTTAGTGCTCAAGTGCCACTCAATATATAGGGGCTTGATAAGAAGGGCGAAAACTTAACTCAAATCGATAAGAGTCGAAGACGATGAGTATAGATACGCCGACTCTATGAGGGAAAAGTATAGTAGAGAGTCTTCCATAACAGGCAACAGACAGTGTCACGACGGACCAACAGCCACTTCTTTCGGTAGGTTTTTAACCAAGATAGATATATCCGACGCAAACACTCGGGCCCGAATAGGGTCAGAGTATGCGGAAAGGTACACATAGTTATATATAGCTAAGTATACTTTGAGGCAGGGGGGTGCACAATCAGACACACCAATGCATACTAAAGCCGAATGGATAGTTTCACTCTTTTTTTCATTCATTATCCTAAAGGTATCGCTTCTAAGCCAAAATGATCCGGAATATCCCCTAAACCAAAACTAGACTTATATGATACACTTAGCAGCTGGTGTCGACGACATATCGTCCGGCGATCTTTCCAGCCTCCATTAGGTCGAAGACTTCTTGCAGCTTGCTGAGGCCGACAACCTTGTAGGGGGCCTTGATGAGGCCGCGTCGGAAGAACTCGATGGCCTCGGCAGTGTCTTGGCGGTTACCGACATAGCTACCCTTGATGTTGATCATGCTATTTTCGTGTGTCAGTCAATCTGGTCCCTTGCAGTGCCGAGATGTCGTTGGGGGGATGCGGGGAAAGGGGGTTAAGGTTGGGGAAACAACATACCGAGTGACGGTGTCAAAGACGGAGGCACGGAAGAAAGCGTTGGCGGGAAGACCAATGCAGACAATGGTACCCTTGGGGCGGACGTATTCGGCGGCCTGCTGGAAGGGCTTCTCGTTGACAGCGAGCAGGAGGACAGCCTCGGGACCATAGCCCTCAGGGGTAACCTTCTTGACGTCCTCGACAATGTTCTTGCTGGTCATGAAGTCGACGTAGGCAACGGCACCAAGCTCCTTGCACATCTTCTCCTTCTCGGCACCACCGTCAATGGCGATGGGGTGGAGACCCATGGCGCGGGCGTACTGCACAGCCATGCTACCAAGACCACCACCAGCACCGACAATGGCGACGTACTCACCAGGGCGGGCACCTGACTCCTTAAGTCCCTTGTAGACGGTGATACCGGCGCATAGAATTGGGGAGATGGCCTCTAGGTCGCATTCCTTGGGTATCCTGGCGACGTGAGCCGCCTTGCCGATGCAGTACTGCTGGAAGCTGCCGTCGACTGTGTAACCAGAGAGGTCGGGGGTAGGGCAGAGAGGCTATATGATTTGTTAGTATATGCTCAGCCGTCTTCTCCAAGTCATCTGCAAACGTACCTCGTTGGCAGTTCGGCAGAAAGAGCACTGTAGGCACGATCCGTTCAACCACTTGATACCGGCGTAGTCGCCAACCTGGATGTCCTTGACGAGCTCGCCGCGGGCGACGACAACACCGGCACCCTCGTGGCCACCGACGAGAGGGATCTTGGTGTCCAAGGGCCAGTCACCCTTGATGGCGTGCAAGTCTGTGTGGCACACACCAGAGTACTTGATGTTGACTAGGACCTCATCGGGACCAGGCTTGGGAACAGGGATCTTCTTGTAGACGATGTCTGTGGGGGATGTTAGCGTAAGATTCTGGAAGAAGCTTGCAGGCATTTAGAAGGACATACTGCCGCCGGTCTTCTCGAGGACCTGGGCCCATTGCTCGGTTGGGACAGACATGATGGTTATTGAAGAAGGAGGAAGAAAAGAGGATTGTGTGTGAGTGTGTAATTGGAGAGTGGGTATCTTATTGTTGTGTGAATGATGATGATGATGGAGAGTCTTTTTTTCTTTCAATGTTACCGAGAAAGCATCAGGCTTATATACACTCGAAAGAGGGCATCATGAAGCGATGGACCTGGTCGAATTCAATAACAACCACACTAAAGGAATCATTACCCCTCACACCACTAAGCTGGTGGCTAGGCGTCCGACACAGGGTGACGATCACCATGTTGTCTTTCGCAGAGCATGGCTTGCCCGCCCCGCTACGGCGCACGCTGAGACCGGTGATGGCGGCTTCTAGGCTAGACACAGACTAGATTGATTTCATGATATGACTAGAGAGGAATAGGCTGGAGATGGACTGGGGATCAACTCGTAGTCTGCGGACGGCGGTTGCGCTTCCTTCTCCCTGGTATCGGCCTGCCGATTGCTAGGATCTGGGGGGGAAGCAAACGCACTTCTATCAGGGTATGACGCCGATGCTGTGGACGGGTTACATTGGTTCTGCCTCTGCCTGTCACCTTCCAAGGCATAAGGCATCGAGGGATTGATTCTACGGCGATAGAGAACATGTCAGCGGCATCAGCGGCCAGTCTACTGACTACACGACCACCAAAAGGGCATTCCATGCGGAAACGCCCGTGCTAATAGGCCTTCCCCGCCTAATACCCTGGTCCGGGTTGGGCCAGGGGTATCGTGACACGAAAGTCGTCGAGTCGGCCCACCATGACGACGGCTCTCCCTCCACTTCTCCAGCAGGTATTTTTACCATGGACTCACTCGCTGCGTGAGGCTTATTCCCGCAAAGCACCTGTTCATTCTATCGTGATTCCTTACATTAGCACATGACATTTGGGATGGTCTATCGCAGTCTAAAAGATAGTCTCTGGAATAGTCGATCGAGTAGCCCAATGGGTACGACTAGTGTATAAACAGTGTGTGCTTGGATGCACGAAACGTGCAGTGTCTTCTGGCGCTCGGTAGAACGGAAGCTCAAGATGACCTAGAATCGGCGAATCCTTTGAGGCTTGTACGTTTTAATGCAAATCACAGACCATACGACGCTGCATCTTACCAAGTAAGCCCAAATGGCTGACTAGATAGGCCCAGTTCTGCCCCAGGTTGGCGGATCACCACCAAGGCCCCAAGGCCCCCGGAGCCACGATCCTTGAACCATGAACCCCACGAGCCCTAAGCCCCTCGACTAGTGGCATTCCCCTCACGGTCTGTGGCGCTTGTCTGTCTTCTCTGCTGAGCGTGCCCCTCATCATCCTCGGTGCAATGGATTGAGGTTTCATCGTGATTGGCCCTCGAAGTTGGGACGGGGTCTTTTTTAACTAGGAGCAACGGAAGGAATTCGCTACCCCAATCACCTCCAGGATCCCCGCAATCGACTATCTCACGATGGCTTCTCAAAAAAATCCGGGGAAGCGAGCCGTGTCTCATGTGACAGGTGGCTTGTGGCTGGTATAACAATGATTACGATACGCTTATTGATAACTTTTGTCTAATCTCCCAGTTGCCCGTCCGTCCGGCTTCGGAACAATAGTTTTTGCTCTTCATCGCCCGCGCCAAGCCGTCCTCTGCTAACTAGTAGCTATTTACTCTCCACCTATCCCCTCCATCTCGGCCCTCCATTCAGATCTTTTTCCGTTATTCTTACCCCCCCGTCCTTCTCCCCAAAGCACTAATCGGACTGAGACCAGCCTTTACTGTTAGTGCTCAGATTAGTTCCTACACTAAACCCCGACTTTGCTAGCCCTCTAAGGTTTGATGGAGGATATTGACACGATAGCTTTCACTACGCGCCATTAGTTCCTCATGTGAGCCCCTCTCCACACACCGGCCATCCTCGATGACGAAGATGGTATCAGCGCGTCGTATCGTGTGTAGACGATGTGCAATGGCCACCACCGTAATGTCACGCGTTGCCTTTTCAAGTCCATCTTGTAGCAGCCGTTCGGATTCGGCATCCAGAGCGCTTGTCGACTCATCGAGGAGTAGCAATCGCGGCTTGCGTACGAGGGCTCGGGCGATCGAGAGCCGCTGTCGCTGACCACCGGAGAGTTGGCCGCCGTTGTTTCCACACTGCGTGTTGTACCCGTCGGGAAGCGCCATGATTGTGTCATGTATGTTGGCTAGTTTACAAGCCTCCTCGATTTCAGCATCCGATGGCTCAGCGCCTGGCCGAGCCCCAAGCGCGACGTTGAACCGGACGCTTCCATCGAAAAGCACACTGTCTTGCGGTACGAGACCAATGTCATCTCGGAACATAGCCTCTTTCTTGGCGCTAATGTCAATCCCTCCGACCTCAATGGCACCGGACTCAATACTGTACATTCGCTCCAGCAGCGATACAATTGTTGATTTTCCAGCACCACTAGGTCCAACCAGAGCGCAAAATTGGCCTGGTGGTATGTCGAGGTTAAGTCCATTCAGAATTTGACGGTTGGGTCGAGCTGGGTAGGAGAACTTGACTTGCTTAAATTTGACAGCAAGGCCGCGTCCCGGTGTCTTTGGTGTTATTGTCCTTGATTCAATCATCTCCTCTTGATCTTTTCCCCGTGATGATACTTCTAGCGTCTTCGATGATCCGAGATCGATCAGATCAAAGATGCGCCTGGCAGCTTGACCTGCGCGAGTGATTTCCGGTGCGAGAGTAAAGAATTGGCCCCAAAGCTGGGCGCTTACGAGAAGGGATACTAAAACGATGAAGAATTGCGCCTGCGTATACATTCCTGAAACGATTTGCTTTGATCCCCACCAATATACAAGTGCATAAAGGAGATTGGAGATGCTCATCGATAAGGCGAGAAAGACGTTGGACCAAATGATGGAGCGCGATACTTCTTTACGAGGCAGTTCGAGCGAACGCTGGTACGTTGCTAAGATCTCTTGCTCCAGCGAAAGGGCCGCGACAGTCTTGATAGAGTTGACAGCTTCGACAGATATACCAACTGACTTATCGAACGCTTTCCCATGCTTTTCATCGAATCGAGAGATAATCCACAATTTCATGAAACCAGAGCCGAGCATGAGAGGCACGATGGCGAGACACACCACTGCGATTTTCCATGCGACGATGTGGGCCAGAATGATGGCACCGATGAAGTTGACAAGGACTGAAAACAAGGTCCCAATGATAGATCCCGTCAAACCTCCAATAGCTGCCGTGTCGCTTGTAATAAATGAGAGCAAAGATGACGGCGTCCGACTCTCTGATTGGTGCCATTGTAGGTCCTGTTCGAACAGCGAGCGGAAAGAAAGTACCCTAATAACGTATAAGATCTTCTCGGCCACCAGGCCAAACATTGACCAACTAGTCCCGTTAGCGAAGAACTCGACAATAGCGAGTACAAAATATAGCAGGCCAAAGAAGGCTCCTGCGGCTTTAATCGCTTGCGCGGTGTTGCAAGGGCTTAAAGCTGCAATAGTGTTGCCAAATATTAGCGCTGAACCGAGATATGTACCTCCAACAAGGAGCGACCCGAAAAAGGCCAGGAATAACCATAATAGATGAGGCCTTGCTAGAGACCCGAGCTTTTTCATGGCCGACCATGCTGTTTGCTGAGGCTCTTTCGAGGCTCGATCTTGGGCTTCATCTTCTTCCTTGGGTTCAGCCACATCGACCGATTTATCAAGGTCCCCGTTATTCTCATCAGTTTCGGAGCTTGACTTTCTTGGTAGGTCAATTGATAGCTTGCTACCTCGCGCAGTACTGACACTAGATGTTTCAGAACCAACATTTTGTAGTCTAACTAACGCAGCATAGTCAGCATCTTTCGCCATCAGAGCACTGTGATTCCCTTCTTCGATGACCCTGCCGTTCCGCATGACAACGATCTTATGAGCATTCCTCACAGTTGCTAACCGATGTGCGATCGAGATCACAGTTCGCCCCACTGAAGCTTTCTCGATAGCTGCCTGGATTCGCTGCTCACTGGCCGAGTCCAGTGAAGAGGTCGCCTCATCGAGCACCAGTATCCTCGGATCCTTGACCAAGGCCCTAGCAAGAGCCACCCTCTGCTTTTGACCACCGCTAAGTAGATCACCATTGGGTCCAACGATGGTGCCGAGCCCGAATTCAAGATTACCCAAAAACACGCCAGCATCAGCCAGGTCTGCAGCGTGCAAGATTAACCGAGCAATCTCAACCATCTCTTCACCATAAGCCGCTGCTGCCGTAAGAAAATCTTGACCTTCGCGAATAGCCTCAGCAACTTGAGACAGCTGGTTGCTGAGTACGATGGATTGAAATCTCGCATGTTCTGGGCGAGATGAATTGACTAACCCAAGAGCGATATTCTCAAGAACTGAACGGTTTAGCAACATGGGGTCTTGCTGGACGAGGCCGATGAAACTTCTCAGCTGGCGTACATTTATATCTCGTATGTTCTTCCCGTCTAGAAACAGATCACCAGAATCAGTGTCGTATAATCGGGTAAGTAGGCCGGCAACAGTAGACTTTCCACTGCCCGATAAGCCTACAATGGCTGTAGTCTTCCCAGCTGGGAATTGCAGGGAGACATCTTGGATGACAGGGACATCAGGCCTAGAAGGGTATGTGAATGCCACATTCTCAAGTCGAACATCGCCCTCGAATAGTTCGGGTGGCTGTGGCGGTTCATCATTGGGCTCATTGATTGTGCCATCAATCTTGGACTGACGATCTATATCTGTTTGTAGCTTGTCTAGAGTTGCGGCTGCGGTAGCAAATATCTGTAGATAAGGTGAAACATTACTGATGACGATGGATGCTACACGCAAGTCAGCATGAATTTGTATGTACAATGTGAATGATCTTACCGTCTATGAGGATGAATATGATGGTGTAAATCGATCCGACAGATGCCCCTTCGATGCGACCTGCTGTGACGTCTGCAATGATGATACTTCCCTGCCAGTACGCAAGGCCGGAAGCAGCAAAAGCGATGAAGTATAGTACACCGGACTGGATTGCAACGGCTGTAGCCTTCTTGATACTCTCTCTTTTGGCTGATCTGAGCTCGGAAGCGAACTTGGCCTCGAGTCTATCATTGGCTCTAAATGCATGAACGACCATCACGTTGGACAAGCTTTCGAGAGCAATCGAAGACGCAGAGGCGATGTGCTCTGAAGCCCGAGCTGTGTATTTTCCAACGTAGTGGCCGCCTCCGAATACCATGATGAGGAAGGCTGGAACAAGAGACACAAGGATGCCGGCAAGCTTTGGACCTTTGATGAACGCGATAATGTAGGAGGTGATGAAAAGCGCTAGAACGCCGAGATACACACCAACCTTCTCCGATGTCCCATTCTTGATTGTAGTGATGTCGGCGCTTAATCGTGATGAAACCTCTCCAGCCGGCAACTTGTCGAAGAAAGACACTTCCTGTCGTAGCAGGGATCGAAGGTACTTCTCCCGAAGACGATGCGCAAGCCTCTCGCCGAACAAATTCCAACACACGCCGTATATGTAGATGAGCGCAAACTGGGCCAGCGCAACTGCAACGACGAGAATGACTTTCTGGTTGATAGCGGCCTGGTATTCGCCAGGGGATTGTGACCCCGTGCCGTCCTCGGCCGCGCATGTAGCCCCATTAAGCTCGTCGACGAGCTGTCCGAACAGGATTCCGAGAATAGGAAACGGAATGCCAGCCCCAATCGATGAGATGGTACCAACTATGAGCAGCGTATAATCGAGAGGGGTGGGATCGGCATAATTGAGCAAGTGAAAATAGCGAAAGATGCTGCGAAACACCTGGCAAAGAGTTAGAGGTGTGGGTATCATTACATTTTCTTCTGATCATACAACACGGACCTTTGATACTATTGAGGGCGTAGACTTCTCTGCATCGCTCGTCGTGCCCGCGCCATTGCTTGGACCAGGATTTGAAGACACATTACGAGCTTCTGTTTCTGATACCGAATTGGCACCCATATTGAGCAACAAAGGTCACTGCGTCCTACAATTCTTCACCCGCTGCTAAAGAGGCAACGAAGAGACGTGGACGGAACTGAGAATGCCAGCATAATAGAAAATATATGGGTGCCATAAATTCCGCTGGGTCATCATGTAGAAGAAACCTTAGCAGCAGCAGTAGCAGCTAGAACGACAAGAAGTTTCGGCCCCATGAATACCCACATGCTGCGATGAGCATGCGGATCCAAACATGCCATGGCATTCATCCATTTTGTACTAAGAGCGACGGACCCAAACGCGTTACATACTTCCAAGGTTAGTAGGACTGGGTAGTGTCAACATCGACACTGCATCCCTCTTGGCCAGGTGTCCATCCGCGGATCTATGTACAAATCAGTAAGCAGAGACAACGGTATATACGTGGCGACTAGAATCGTGGTATCACGATGTCACCCTGGGTTGTCAAGCCGGCATGGTACGCAGCGGTACCCGCACATCGGAGACAAGCGAGGATGAGAGACCTTCTCGTTTCCACACAAACCACAAACCCTACCCTCATACATACTACGTCGTACTTACTTAAGTACAGTACAACCCCCTGCCGCCGAAAGCGGGGGATGACGATGAAGATAGGGCCACACAGTAGCCATGAAGCTCAAGTATGATAGGATGGCTGGGAGAAGACTGTGAGGAAGCATTTGATGGGCCGGCTTGGCGTGCAGAATCGTCGGATCAGATAAGATAATTTCGAGGGCGCCAAAGACGGGCAGAGACGGAACAAAATACATGCTGATGCACTGTGTACATGTACATCCGTAAACCAAGTCCCAACCAGTCGAAAGTATGCAGTACAAGTGTGCACTAAGTTCTAGGCACGGTAACTAAGTACACATAGCAGACATTGGTAATTACATATGTACCTACATACGTAAGCAATTCACAGTGTTGCTACCAGTTATACACACCACCGGTACCTACGAAGTAAGTAGGTAGGTACATATGTATGTAGGCAGTCTTGCCCAGTGAAATGTACATACATGTACCCAGGGTACCTACCTACAGTACCAAGGCGCTGGTGGCGAGGACACACAGGCCAGTTTATCTGATGGCGCTAGCCCGGAACGAGCATCAGTCGATGACTATCTTGGAAGCTGCTTTCGCCTAGTGGGCTGAGCATATGAGACTTTTCTCACTCTATTTGCGACATTCATTTCCGTGACCAATATCGGCGTGTCATCGTATGTTTACTGTTTTCCTTCCGTCCATCTATCGAATACGAGTAAATAAGCAAAGTTGCAATCCCGTAGTTTCATTGTAAAAAGAAGAAAGCTGAGAGACTCAAGCCAGCTTTGGAACCTTGAAGGTCAGGTGGCGGCCCGTAGGGCTCATTGCCGAGCCTGTCCTCATCCTCCCTGAATCCTACGTCTCCACCATCCCTCATACTGCCCCAGCAGCTGACACGTCAGTGTGACTGGGTGACTTACCCCCGTGCCTGAGCGCGGCACGCAGAGACATTTATAATTATATTACTGCGGGCCTGTCGCCCGTCTTGCTCTCGCCATGTCCCAAGTTCATCGACGCGCTGTGGCCTCCATCAACATGCAGGACCTCAGCGCCAGCAGTAGTACCAGTAGCCGGGCACCACTGCTGAGCCCGGTTTCCAGCAGCAGTGACGGCGGCTCGGACTTTGATGAGAGGGCCAGCTATGGCTCAACCTCGGGGAGGAAAGATGGTGTCCTGTCGACAAGCTCTCAGAGTGATGACGATGACGATTTGGATGATGAGGACGAGGTAGATGGCAGAGATGAGGAACTTGGTGTTCCCGCCCACGGTGGCATTCAAAAGGCAGATGCAATCAACCGAGTCTGGTCTAAAGCTGCGCTGGTCACAGCATATTTATTGTACGCTGACAGGTTCTCTCATACACCTCGTTCGCGACTAACAATACTGTAGCATCTTTCTGTGTTCTTTCGCCAACGCTTTGCAATGGCAGGTCATCTTCAATCTGATGCCCTATGTTGTTAGCGAGTTCTCTTCTCATTCCTTGATACCAACCATCGGTATCGTTTCGAACGTCCTCAGCGGCGTGCTGAAACTTCCAGTAGCTAAGATTATCGACTCCTGGGGCCGGCCCCAGGGATTTGCATCTATGACCCTCCTTGCTGCTCTAGGGTTGGTTCTTATGTCTCTTTGTCGAGACGTTCAAACCTATGCAGCTGCCCAGGTCCGTCACCCCTGATGAAAATCCTCATGTTGATTATACTCATTATTCTCGTAGGTCATATACCAAGTAGGAATTAGCGGTTTCACGTATATCCTCGAAATTATCATTGCCGACACTTCTTCCCTGAAGAACCGATCCCTCGCTTTGAATTTCAGCTCAATGCCCAATCTCGTCACCACATTCATTGGACCGGCCATTGCTAGTTACTTTACGGAAGATGATCTTTGGAGATTAGCATTCGGCTTCTCGGCCCTTGCCCTCGTTTTGCTATCTCTCCCTCTATTTTGGATCTTAATTCTAAATATGAGAAAGGCGAAGGAACTAGGACTCCTTGAGACGTCTACCAAGCAGGAACCCTGGACTATAAGCAAATTCCACCGCTATCTAGTTGAATTTGATGGTAAGCCACAACACTTCTCGTCTTTATCCTTTGGCACAGAGGCTAACAAACATAGCTGTGGGAATGCTGCTACTCAGCGCTGGAATGACGCTGATACTAATCCCATTTTCTCTAACCACCAAATCTACTGCTACCAACAATATCAACGTCTACACATTTACCCTCTTCTTAGGATTTGTATGTGTAATTGCATTTGGTTTTCATGAAAAAAGGACGAAGAAACCGTTCATAGCATTTTCGCTTCTATGTTCCCGCAATGTCGCTGGGGCTTGTCTACTATCGACTACGATTTTCGTAGCCTACTTTGCCTGGGATGGCTACTATACATCTTATCTGCAGGTAGTCCACGGGTTAACTATCACTCAGGCTGGCTACATCGGACAAACTTACAGTATTGGGTCGTCTATTTGGGGACTTGTAGTGGGTTATTTAATCCGAAAGTCCGACCGGTTCAAGTGGCTCGCCGTGGTAGCGCTACCAGTGCATATTATCGGTGGCGCTCTGATGATTATCTTTCGACGACCAGACACACATATCGTATGGGTTGTCTTGTGCCAGATCCTCTTGACTATTGGTGGTAGTACACTTGTCATTTGCGATCAAATGGCAGTGATGACGGCCGTCAGTCACTCCGAGCTTGCCTCTACCATGGCTATTCTATCTTTAGCTACCTACTTGGGATCCGCGATGGGTAGCTCACTCAGCGGTGCAATCTGGAATTCCACTCTGCCAGGGGCCCTTGCTGAGCTCCTCCCAGAGTTAAGCCCTCTCGAGTTAGTCAGTATCGGCTCTGATTTGAAGAAGCAGTTGAGTTATCCCATGGGAACACCAATTCGTACAGCCATCATCGCCGCTTATGGACAATCACAAGCTCGTATGTGTATAGTCGGTACTCTAATATCACTTTTAGAAATTGGGGCAGTTTTGATATGGAAAGATAAACGGCTGAGCCGGTCGAAACAGGTCAAGGGGACAGTACTGTAATTGTTGTACATCGATAGAATTCATACACTACTTTAGATCGATAGAATAGACAAAGATCAAAGTATCTCTTGTTCGAACCACGCACTTCGCTAATCTGCTTTTGTCATAACCCCGGGAGTACTCTTTAGGCCTGGTAAATATTACTGGGGTGGTCTCTAAGAGCCACTTGAGCTAAATCATGATGTATATGGATGTATAGGGGAAGAGTATGTGCCTTCGAGTACATTGCTATGCTCACCGTCATCGCTTGAGAACAAACACTGTCCGATCTCGCAACACCGCTCTTAGGTCCTGGTACATAGTAGCTGATCTGATTTAATCTTATCTGATCCGATGATAATTTTCTTCTGACCCACTTGCACACTACCATGGGTGTCATGTACAGAACCATTTACCCTACACGACTTGAATATCCCGGTAGATGTCAGATTCTCCGACCCAGCTTCCCAGGTGAAGATAATTACTCCCGGCTGTAGCCCAATCCTGCTGTAGCTTTGAGTATTTTGCGGCACTGTTCAATGACAGTTCCTTGGGTACTTACAAGAATCCGAGAATGGGTTAGGCACTACCACAATCTGCGCGGTTAAATCTCTTACCTGGTTCCATTCCAACGTTTCCACTATCTAGTCCGAGGCAAACCGTCAGGTTGCGGGTCTCAATATGTCACTCTTCAACTACCAATCCTGGTCTAGCCCAGAGACTTGTTACATGCAAACTTTAGGCGCATTGCCTAACACTCATGTCTATATGCGTCCGTCCCTTCATACTGGGACCCTCTCAGTCCGGCCCTGCATTTCTGAAAAGCAGGTCCAGTGGAGCGTTGGCTGAGAGCGGAAGCACCTCTTTGCGTCATGTCTGAAGCCGCTGAACCCGTAGGGTTACTTTTTATAATGAGGGCTTCTGGGAACTCACATACTATTAGGTTCTGAAACAGTAGTTTTCCTACTCACCATCACGGAAAATATACATCATGGCTACACAAGATGTTCTCCAGTCACATTCATATCCTCAGTTTCAGTCTCGAGGGCAGAATCTATCAATCTTGTATGGGCCTGTCGATCCTCCATTAGTAGATTTAACGTTGGGTGAACTTTTAGATCTGCAATGTCAACATCACGGAACCCAAGAGTGCATAGTAACTCCATGGACAGGCGCCCGGTGGACATACAATGAGCTCAATCAGCAAAGCTCGCAATTGGCGAGAGCATTGATGTCAATCGGCATTGGTGTTGGAGACCGTGTAGCAATCATGGCTGGAAACTGCGAGCAGTATGCAGCTGTTTTCTTCGCGGTGGCACGCATTGGCGCAATACTCGTCATCCTTAACAACACCTACACTCCAACTGAAGCTCAATATGCTTTGAAGTTCTCAGGTATTTCAACCTTGTTTGAGTTACAGTTGGAAGTAATGACTGACTTGAATCTTAGATAGTAAGGTTTTCTTCACGACGAAGATCGGCAAGGTCGATAATTCGCCACTGCTCACAGAGCTGGCAGCGCAAAAGGAACGACCTGATGTCGTTATTCTGAGAGGAGAGTCTGGCTCTTATCCCACATATAACGACCTCATTAAGCAGGGGCGGAGGATGAGCAACGACACTCTGTACCGCAATGGCCGGAAAGTCCTCGCCCATAATGTCTGTAACCTCCAATTCACTAGTGGGACGACCGGCTTACCGAAGGCGGCGATGTTAACGCACCACAACATCGTAAATAACGCCCGTTTCATCGGAGACCGCATGCGTCTTGTCCCTGACGATATCTTGTGCTGCCCGCCACCACTGTTCCATTGCTTCGGCCTTGTGTTAGGTTTAATGGCCGTCATCACCCACGGAGCCAAGATCGTCTACCCAGAGGAGACATTCGATCCTGCAGCCGTGCTCCGCGCCATTTCCGATGAGCAGTGTACTGCTGTGCATGGCGTACCGGCTATGTTTGACACACTCTTTAGCCTTCCAACACCCCCGGGTTTCAACTGCGATAATCTCAGGACAGGCATCATCGCTGGCGCTCCTGTTCCTAGGTACCTAATGGAACTGCTGATCTCGCGCTTTGGTATGACCGAGTTTACGAGCAGTTACGGGCTGACCGAGGCGTCGCCAACATGCTTCAACGCCTTCACGGATGATGCCATAGACAAGCGGCTCACGACCGTCGGGACCCTAATGCCGCACGCGCGCGCCAAGATCGTCGACCACGCGGGCAATATCGTGCCTGTGGGCGCTCGGGGAGAGCTCTGCATCGCGGGATATCAGTTACAATCGGGGTACTGGAATAACTCGGAGAAGACGGCCGAAGTGATGATCCGCGACGAGGCGGGCGTGCTCTGGCTGCACACAGGCGACGAGGCCGTCTTTGACGACCAGGGTTACTGCACCATCACGGGCCGCTTCAAGGACATCATCATCCGCGGCGGCGAGAACATCTACCCCCTCGAGATCGAGGAGCGCCTGGTGGCGCACGCCGACATCTCGCGCGCCATCGTCACCGGCGTCAAGGACGCGCACTACGGCGAGGTCGTCGCTGCATTCCTCTACAGCGAGGCGCCTGCTGCCAAACGTCCGTCTGCCCAGCAGATCAAGGAATGGGTCCAGCTCAAGCTAGGGAAACATAAGGCGCCCGCGCACGTCTTCTGGTTGGGCGAGAACGGCGTCCCGGCTAATGCCCCGCTGACTGGGAGTGGTAAGGTGAAGAAATACGAGATGGCGCGATTTGGAGAGGAGGTTTTGAGGAAGCAGCGCCTTGAAAGGCTCTAATCAGCTCTATATTTCAAATCTAAAGGAGCGAGTGCATAAGGGAAGAGGAATTTAGATAGAGTGGTGTCTTTAGAGGACTCGAAAAGGGGGATGGAAATGTAAATGATTGAGAATAGAGTATGTAATACATAGACAGGAGACACATAATCAAAGAAGAAGGCCCGGAAAACACGTTGTCATTTCCTGATTGTGAAAAGAGAGGCAGATTACTTGGGTTTTCGATGCCTCTAATACCGATGAGACGTTATCTCTACTCATGTTCGCTCCATTCAGCGACCCCCTTGCTCACACGCTAGCTGCAAATACTCTTCAGTTTTTTTTTTGTTTTTCCCCTTTTCTAATGGTCCATCATGTTGTCTTGCCTGCGCGCTAGTTGTTCATATCCCTCCATCTTCTTACTGGCCCTCTTCCTGGCCAGAGTCTACTTCATCCCGCAGAGCCTGGATGAGGGCGCAAAGATTTTCTTGGCTTGGCCCCTCGGTTCCAGTCTCGCTGTGGTTGCCGTGAAGAACCTTCAGCGTGACAGCGAGCGCCGCATCCATGTCGTCATGATGAATATACCACATAGCGAGTCGTACGGCCAGACGCGGGTAAAGGTTCAGTACGGCATGCGTGAGAGCATCAACAATATCGAAATGTGTATCGTCCTTGTAGTTGATAGCGTCCACGAATCTCATTTGAGTATCTTCGTCGACGTCTTGTGGTTCTTGTCTGATATCGGCGAGACGTTGCTCGAGATTGGGATCCATGTTTCGGCTGGTTCCGAGTGAGATAGGCATGGGAGCTGATGAAATAGAGGCAGACGATGGCGAGAAAGATCGCTAAGTCACTATAAGTATGTGGCGTGACAGAAGAAACGATCTTCTGACCAAAGGTGGCGAGAAAAGACATGCTGAGTATATTAGAACAACTATACAATTTAATACTTTCCATAGTATATTGGCGAATGTACTTACAGTCGTGTTTGTGCTTCTGAAACAGAGTGGGATATCGTAGTTGACTTGTAGACAGAATGGGGTGAAATAGAGGAGCTGGGTGATAAGTTGCAGGATATATGCTTGCTTTTAAATGCCTTGCGCGCCTGCTGAAGCCTGGGTGGCCACTACTTCAACCGAAATTTGCTACCTTATGGGTTGACTAGGTGATACTATCCAAGGCGAGACTCAAGGCATTTTTAACCGGGAGCTAGTCCATGCATTTCGAAATACTTCTCGATAAGGCTGGCGTCTATACAGTTTCATAAACCTTGAAAGATGCCGCTTGGTCTAAAATATATGGGTATCACATATGACACAGTCTGCTTTGTTCTCTAGGTTACTCATTGTAAGACACAGAATAAGATTCTAGATGATTGACTACATCTAAAACACATTCTAAGATAGACATTGGGAATCTCAGGTGGTGTAAAGGGGTTTAAATTTCTTTGATTAGGACAAGCCTAGATTTAGAATGAATGTAGAATACGACTCGCTAGAACATACTAGATATCAAGATAACAAAGGGAAATAAACAAACCAAGCAAGTGTTACACGCGTACACGCGTACAAGCTGAATATGCAGTTCGCCTTGCACTTCGGCCGTATGAAAGGCCATTGCAGCCTGTTCATGATCATTCAAAGACATGCAGGCAATATTGGAAAGTGAGGTCATACAGACTCGGCTTCCTGAAACAAGCCCTTGAGACCTAGGCGGTCTGGGCTGGCAGACAAGTTGTATTAGAGTTGAGTCAAGCGACTAAAGCCAAGAAGGAATTGGTTGGTCACGGACTCATGCAGCACTAGTTGGTCATTATATTCTGAATAGCTTCAATTCCAAGCCCAATTATCTGCCCTTGTAGCAAGTTCTGGTGTCGAGAAGAAATATATCGTGCTCTCGGTAGGCCTTCAGTTTAAAACTTTAACTCAATTATACCCATCAATCTTAGTATGAGTCTACATCAGGCTTCGAAGATTGCCGACACAAAAGGACTGCCAATGACGCAGATCATGATATTCCAGATGCTCGGGCTAAATTCTATGCAAGGTCTCCCACTGCTATCTAATATATCTGGCGACATTGAGAGTGTATATGCCTAGCTGCCTCCAGTCAAGCCGTACATGTGCGAATTGTCTAGTATATCACGGCGACTTCCGTTCAGTGGAGATCCCAAAGGAACACTAAATTCATGCCTTATTAATCGCTATCGTCACTGAAATCCATCTCTTGCGAACCAGTATCGCTCTCATCCTCATCTGAATCGGTACGGATGTCGTCACATTCAGCTTTAATCTCTTGTGGTTGCCCCATGCGGATATATTCCAGCATAATCTGGCAGTCCACTAGGTCAGACACTTCACGAGGGCTCATAAGTCCTTCATCAAATGCCGCCTCAACGTCAAAGTTGTACAGCCGATCCGTAAGCACGTCTTCGAGAAGCTGACTCTCGTGTCTTTTTTGCGACCAATTCATGATCTCATTTGATAGTTCGTGTGTCTTGTTGGCAACCTGCTGGATGATGAGGTGCATAACTAGAGGTGAGATCCTCATAGTATCACTGTTCATCTGACGGCGTAGATAGTCTTGTTCTCGAACCGTGAGAGTCGTCGCGCCACCAAGCAGTTTATTGTGGATTAGTCGAAGCTTGAGCTGTTCTTCCTCTAACTTGCTTATGTATCTGGCCTCGTGATGAATGGGTTTAACACCCGGCTGGTGGCGGTGATTTGAGTTGTTTGTATGCACACTCGTGGCAGTGAGACTCGTTCGACGAACTTTAACGGGATATTCCATATGTTCGTGTCGATTGGTTTCATCGTACTTGTGACCGTTGAGATATGAGTTTCTGGCCCTATCTGGGATTGGAGTAGCTGGCAAAGGAACGATAATGGCGTCACTAGAGTAGGAGTAAGTGCGCTTTTGGCCACGATGAGTTTTCTTAGATTTAGACTCAGGCGAAGGCGAAGGCGTTAGCACTAGTCGAGGAATGCTGAACTTGGTTGATGTCGGGCTGTTTGGGGTGATCGGAGGTTTAGGAGGGAGGCCGGCCTTGCTTGCATCGGGGAGAGTCGTATAGACATTTACGGCCAAGGACGGTCGTGATGGAAGATTGAGTGGTGGTGTGCGCTGCATCGTGAATATCAAATGTTCCTAACAATCAAGCGATATCTGGAACAAAATTCCCTGTTAGGTTGAGCCCGTCCCCTTAGCATCGTGAGGTTGCTGGGGCAGCTTTGCTTACTGGAGGCTATCACCGGAGAGAGGAGAGAAAGTGTGTCTTGGAGTGGCAGAATCAATTTAGATATTGAGGTTGAGTAATTTGAGATTGCTTCTCCAGGTCGTGTAATAATACTCGAGGTGGGTTTGTTGGTTCAGGACCAGCATGAGGACTGCCAAATTTCTCAATTCGTTCTTAATTATTTACTCCAAGTGGATAATATATAAATAAAATCAAGAAGAATTGGTGTGCCAGTGTGTGTGGTAAAAACAAACCCTAGAGAGCGGCAAATTGCCATGTTGACGATGTCATCCTCACCAGGCATAAAGTACCTCTCACCAACACGCCGACAACACGCCGACAATGCTCGCGATAGTAAGCATAGTTCCAGCCAACTCCTCACTCTAAAGTACACAAACAATATAAACACCAATGACCACTACAGTTACAACTGGAATTTAAGGGGTTTAGGTAGAAAGGGAATATCACATGACATGGAATCCTAATGTATGCATATTCCTGTTCATTTGCCTGCAGTCACTGGTATCACGTGTGTGCTCAAACTTGGGTTATATAGAGGTCAAGGTTTATAACTATCTACCTGCTTGATACAGACATGTGAAAGAATCATTAATGGATTCCAACTTGCTACCACGCTGTGTGTGACTACAGAAAGGCAACACTAAGATAATGATTCAGTTTCTGTGAGGTTGTTCACCTGATCCTAATAAAGTAGCTGAAGGCTGCCCAATCTCTTTCACATTCCATCACAAGTATAAGCCTTTAAACCACAGCCAGTTCATAGTAATGCATGAGCTCAGCTCAGCATCTTGGTCATCATTGACACAAAGCAATCTTAGCAGTTTGTGGTGATACTTATCAGTAGCAGAAACCAACTCAAGCTTAAAGCTATGAGGGTATTGTTTTTCCTTTTCAATTCATTCCAAATCTCTACCATCCTCAAATATGCAACTGTCTATCTTACCAATTCTATTTATGTTTCCCAGATAGTGTTGTTCATCTTCTAGGGATGATGTCGGGTAGAAGATGAATAATTATATTCATTTACCCACATTGTATTGATCACGCCTTACACAGCGGAATTGGACAAGTGCTACCTAAGTAGGCGGGCATGTACATGTACAAGTACCGGTACACTACCTTATGCAGTTTATGTAGTGCACAAGCCAGGGCTCACTAACAAGTGCTAAAAGAGAGCTAATCCCATGGTCAAACATACTACCTACAGGTAGGCACCTCTATACATAGTACTTGTACCACTCAGTTCTGAGCATGGCCCGGTATCGGCGGTATCGGCGGGCAGCTCATTATCAGATCCGTTTCTCGCCCCACCTGTGATGCCGAGACACCCCACCATCAGCAGAGAAAAATTATCAGATCCGATGGCATCCCCCTGTCATCCCCTGTCATCCATCCTCTTCGCTCATCAATCACCCCGACATCCACTTGCACCCACCAATACCAGCCATTTAAAGTTATCAGATCCGTGGCTGCAGCATGCCAAGCCACGGTTGAATACCGTCCTGCCAAATCCCTCGCGTTGTTTGTATGAGCCGTTGCGCACCAGACTGCCACTTCATGCTGGGCATGCCTTGGCGGTGAAAATTTCTGCGGCCTCAGCTGCGAATGTCGCTAGATGTACCATCTTGGGGCGATACTTTCATGGTACTTCGAGGCTTTTACCTACCTAAAATGTATTTGCGAGCTTCCAACTACATCATATGGGTCCGTATAGGTCGGTAGCTTACATCGAGGGTCGGCTACCTGCCATGACGCTACTGAACGGTGATATGTACTACTTATGTAGGGACGGTAAGGGAGGTGTCAACTCGAGCGGTATGGCGATGGTGTGTTTGCTTTACGGGGATATGCTTGCTCCACCGAAGGTTGCCGTCTCCGAGGGTGCTGAGCTGCTATACGCGTGCCATGACATCGTGACGGTTGTCTAACTTGCGAGACTATTCTCCCCCCATCCGTAACCAGGTGAGACACAGATCTGTACTGCCAATTGAGTTTCATGGTGATCTGTTGTATTACTGCTGAAAGTGTTACTCTTCCATGAAATGACAATGACGCCTTCATCCGACAATGAGCCAATCCTTAAGCTCCCACACCCATACCAGACACCCTACGGCTTCAAGAAGACTTCGCGGACAGCTGAAGCCTCAGTTCCCTTGTTCCAGATCAAACTACTCACCACTAGCGACAAGGCCACTCTTCCACCTGAGCCCTTTCACAATGACCAGCTCTTCTTCACCGAACCTATAGATCTCAAGTCTAGCGAGCGACCTCCGGAATCCAACAATACACCATGGGGTCGCGCCCGCCGCTCGCCCTGTTCAACCTGGGTTTGGGATGGCGAACAACCTCCCACAGTCGGACAGGCATGGCTAGCTATCTACGTGCTATTCACGCTTCGACCGTCAATGGAAGGTTTCCGGCTCTTGCTCACAGGAACGGGTAAAGAAATACTCTCATCGCAGCTCAAGACCGTCCTCCTCGCCATTGACCACCCGATCGCCACGGGCCTCACCGACGAGCTCCTCGTTCCCCGAAGCACCTTCTGGCAGGGCGCTGGCTCACCTTTCGGGCCACGAACGGCGTGGATTCCGGAAGACGTCGAGACTATGTCCAAGCCGCTCTCCTCGTACCCCATCACACCCCTTGAGAACGTCATGACTCGGGAACCGGGACAGGTCCTCACGTGGCACCCGCGACGCCCCGCGAAACCGCGTCCAGGTTCGGTCATTTACAGCCGCTGGATCCCGCACCTGCGCGAGACGTTCAGCATGATTGCGATGGATTGGGAGGACCCCGAACACCTCCGCCTGTTCCACGAGTGGCAGAACGATCCCCGCGTCTCGCAGGGCTGGAACGAGACGGGCACCCTCGAGCAGCACCGCGAGTACCTCCGCAAGCAGCACGTCGATCCGCATCAGATCACGATATTGGCGCGTTTCGAAGACATTCCCTTCGCGTATTTTGAGGTTTACTGGGGCAAAGTAGGTTTTGAATTTTCTCTCTCACTTTTTTCCTCTCTCATTACTTGTATTGTCGATGCTCTATAGATCACGATGTGATACCAGTGTTATTCAAGCCTATAACTTCCATTAAGTATGCTAACTCGTTTCTCCTCGGTTACAGGAAGACCGCCTCGGCGCCTACTACAGTGCAGGTGACTTTGACCGCGGCCGACACTCCCTCGTAGGCGACGTGCGCTTCCGCGGCCCCCATCGTGTCACAGCGTGGTGGTCCAGTCTAATGCACTACATCTTCCTGGACGATCCGCGCACCATGGCCATCATCGGCGAGCCGAAGTACACCAACAGCTCGGTGCTAGCATACGATTTCATCAACGGGTTCGGGTTGGATAAGTTTGTCGACCTCCCTCATAAGCGGTCTGCGTTCATGCGATGTTCCCGAGAGAGGTTCTTCCAGCTGTCGCCCTTGCATGAGAGCGAGAAGGTTGTTGGAGGTACATTGGTCGGCCTATTGCCTAAGTTGTAGAGAGATATATACTTACAAAATTAATCACATGTGAATCGTGTTTCAATAAACTACGCGATGAACAAGGGTGAAGAATTAATGCTTGTAATTGGCAATCCTCAATTTGCGATGTTTAGCTGAGCAACAACAATAAATATCTATATTGAAATCAACCCGTGGCCACCTTCCCTCTGCCCAATGTATCTGGGCACCCATAACGCCGAGCGCCTGTGTCAAGAAATCTACCTCTACCCAACCGTCATCCGTCGCCGAGTCTATTTTGCGACACCACCGAGTCGGAGGTGGTCCCACACAACTACGAAAGATGCAAGTTAGCACGGTAAGAGCAGTGCAGAGGGCTGGCTCGACTTACTTCTAAATCCTAAATCCTCCTCGAAGAATAGCCGCATCACCTGCGGACCGTAGTTCATGCCGTCGGCGCCGTACGAGACGGCGTTCTCGCCCACGGCCAGACCGATCATGGGCGGGATCTCGCTCAGCTTAAGGAACTCTGGCTCCTTGCCGTGCAGCTGCTGCAGCATGGTCTGGTGGATGTTGACCGCGGCCATGTAGCCCCCGTGCAGCGCGCCACCGCAGCGCTTGATGCCCGACCAGTTGATTATGTCCCCGGCGGCGAAATGCGAGTCGGCGTTGGCGACTTCGGCGGGGAAGTGCATGGTGGCACGGATGTTGACGTAACCCTCGCTGTTGAGGGCTTGTTGCGGCAGGTAGCTGGTGGAAGGGACGCTTCTGGAGATGGCCATGATGACCTCGCTCGCCGTCATCTTGTGGCCGTTGGTGAACTCGACCTCATAGAGATCTGACCCGTCTGCACCCTTGATGGGTGTGCGGCTTGCGAGGCGGTGGTTCAGAAGAACCTCGACACCTCCTTGCTCTGCTAGCTCACATGCGCAGTCCTTAACCATGTCTGGCAGCGGCTCGGCGGATAGGAGCTTGTCTCTTGAGTGCGCGAGCGTCACGTGGACACTAGGCTTCAGGTATTTCAACTCGGCAGCCATCTCAATTCCAACAGCACCTATTGTAAGTTAGTGACAAGAGTCCGGCGGTGTTGTGTGCGTATGGGCTGAAACTAACCTCCGCCTACGACGAGCACCGGCGCAGTGCTGTTAAGCACCTTGTCACAGTGTGTTCCGACCTCCGTAAGATACTCTTCGCGCGTCAGCGACTGAGGCACGACTGGCCATGCCCTCCGTAAACCAGTGGTGCCAATGAAGAAGTCGTAGCTTTCTATCCTCGTCTTTTGTGTCTTGTGTTCTGAGATGGTGGCCTTCTTATTCTCGCAATCTACGTTGGCGACAGTGCCTTGGACGAACGTCACGTTGGGACGCTGTAGCACCTTGACGTGCTTATATTCTACCCAGGCCTTCTCTGCATACTCTCTTGAGGCCATAGCCAGAGGCGAGCCAATTATATGATCTGCCGAGCCACATTAACATGTGCGATTGATAGATTGAAACAGGTCACACAGCAGACGTACAGTACCCATCGCGCTCGTCGACAATAGTGACGTCGACGCTTATAGGCGAGTCTAGGGCGTCGCACTTCTCTAGGATGTGGACAGCAGCCGAGAGACCACCGTAACAACCGCCCGCAATCAGGACGCGGTATTGGGGTGCGGAGACGGTAGCGGTTATAATGTCTGCTGTCATCTTTGCTGGGTATTAAAGTATGGGTTCCAGAAGAGGAGATGAGAGTGCGGATAGCAGTCTGGGGTGAAGTTGGAAGAATTATCAATGCAGTCAGGTTTTCACAAGATGGAGGGCGTATCCCCTTTTCAAAAGATGTAGAAAAAGGAGAGACAAGCACCAAGACTCCTACAAAGCTCACCGTCTTCTCTTGTGCCCCAGAAGGTCGTCAGTAGGTAGAGTGATAGATACAGATACAGTAACGGGTCCAAGAGCAGGGGTGAGGAGGGCCCAATGCCCTGAGCTGGATCTGCATGTGCTCTATGAGATACAGTAATGGACAGCTTGGCCTCATTTGGACCCATTGCTAGCTTCAGACGGGTTGTGGGAATAGTTTGTGAGATACCTCATGCCAATCAGTCACTTAGCCAATACTATCGATGTACATGTACGCCATGACTGTAGCCGATGTCGCAAGTGGGTTCGTGTTCATGTAGCCGTGAGGATACCGAGAATGGATACCTGGACCTGGCGGGCATGGTCAAGAATAAGAATGAGAAACAGAAGCTGATGTGCGCTGCCCTCGGTACATAGAAGCTACCCAGTAAGAAGACTGAAGACTGAAACCCACGGCCTGCGAAAGATGATCTAAAATTCGGTGCAACTGAGCCGAATTGGGCTCAGGCAGCGCAATGGCGCTCGCAGGCACACCTACGAAAACCCGAAAGCGGGACTCCTCCGGCATTCGTCGATCGTCAAGCGTTTGATCTGATAAGCAAGCTCACGAACAAAAATCACGCAACGTTTGATGTGGCTACCGTGGCCCTAAACCGCTCTAGGCATAAGTACTAGCCACGGTCTGCCACGGTGTGGGGCCAGAGGTTATCAGATCCGCTCGCGACCAGCGTCTCGACGCTACCTAACATTCTGGCTAATGATACCCGGCGATACCTTGTACAGTACCGAGAGTACCTACCGCGAGTACTAGGCGAGCGGGTACCTAAGCCACTAGCCTGGCTATCTCTAGGTACCGTGTTGTTTTTTCGGCAGCACAGTACGGTATACATCTAGGTACCTACTACCACTTCTCAATAACGGTATTAGGTAAGAGAATGGTTGTTTGCCCAGAGAGTCTAGGAGGAATAAATTTCCAGTGGCTCGGGACGGGAATTCCTGTCTCCGTAGATCCTTTTACATAGATACCTCGGTCATGTTCAAACTCCAAGATAGAGCCTGGCGATAATGAGTCTATACAACATCCGCACATGTATGATCTAGCCCCTATTGAAATTTGGAGACGAAATGCTCTTTCCACGAGAGCCAGTATAATCCTCCAGAGCGTCTATGTAACTAATTGGAATAGTTTACTTGGAGTTCTTATCACCCCTTTGCGGTGGCGCGCAGGTATCGAAAGGTGAAGAGTGTTCATTTTGGTGACTTATGCAAACTCCGACCCATTCAAGGAGTTGGAGAAGTAACTAATGAAAAGCGCCGTTGATTTACATGTGCGCGAGAGCAGCAATAGAAAAAGAATACGGGCTCAGAAATTGTGTTTGGTTATGCTACGCGTTTCTCTCACCTTGAACATGTCAATGTTAGACTTAGCTAATGTGAGTAATCATGCTACATCAGTCGCCCCTTTTGAAGCCGCCATCGAGCCTAGCCATGACTAAGGAGGTGGTCATCGCGTTTGACTCTGATGAACAATGCATAGCATAGCCTCTACCAGGTTCAAACTGTGTTCACACTCTTGGCTTGTGTTGAATATGATATAATCGTGCGAAAATAGCCTCGTTATGTCAATTCTACAGGTCTCTAAAGAGCAGTTGTCTTTGATTCATCTGTAGTACGTATAATTAAACACCAGAATAAGGCTTCCAGGATGCCGCATTGTTCGTTCGTAACTTATCTAACGGACCGCCTCCATCCTATTTATACCGGTAAGCTCGCATCAAAAGAGACTCTTTGGTAAATAATCTATTTCTATCGTTGATGTTTTACACCTATGGACATATGAATGATACAATTTTAGATGATGCTCTGACATCGGCTATGTTATTGTAGATGAAGCGTTTTGCTTCTCATCAACTTAGCCACGGATTCGGCATCACCATCATCTTAGTGGCCCCTATAATGTATCCAATCTCTAAAGCCCATCACGGCGGATCATTACGAGTATTCGGAATATGTCCAATGAACAGAGCGAGAGTTATGCCGAAAGAAAGCTGCAATGAAATCTATTTTGAATCACTGCCGGACTTCACGATCAAATAAGCCTTCGAGCTGTAAAGAGGTGACTTGGCTGTCGACTAATGCTAGTTGAACCTTGCAGTATTGATAACATTGATGAACGGCGTCGGGTCGCTAATCAAAGACTGTCGAATATCTGCAAGCTTGTTTTGGCAGATTTCAGAGGCCAATTCGTTTTCATCTCGAGGAATCATGATGTACTCCACGGAACCTTCTGCTTGAATTCTACCCATGAGGTCAGCCGCCTCCTGGATCAAGTCGCCGTTGACGATGTTGTCAGCTGAGGCGTTTAATTCATGGATCTCCTTAGTCATGAATTCGACAGCATGTTTGGAGTCGGATCGAATTTGAACATTGAGTGGTGTGCCCAAATAACCTTTTTCGGTCTCCTCCTCAGCCCATCGAAGAGCCATAATAATAGCCATGAGTTCGGCTCGATGATTAGTTGGGATTGGATTCGATGATAATTTCATTGATCTTATTTCGCAAGTGTCATTCAATGTCTCGAGCACACATGCAGCGGCACCGATCGTATATGATCGGCCGAGTCTTCGGCAAGCACCGTTGACGTAGAAGTTCATCACGGAAGACATGATACTGGTGCAAACTTTAGGATGGGCTTTGATCCGCCTGCAAAGTAGTGAATATAATCATTAGGACCACATAGGGTCTAAATACTCTGTCCCAGGATTACCTTTTCCATTTGTTGTAGCCCAAAGTAGTTTTGGTGGTTTGTTCCCAACCACCTGCAGAAGCAAACTGGCAGTAGGGAAACTTTCACGTATCAGGCTGAATGCCTTATTTCAGGTGCTCAAGAACTGACCTGGAAATCTCCACGCAGATTAACATAGGCCTTGGTTCCACGACTGTGTTTATTACATTTCGATTGCTCTGATGTTACTGCTCATGTACCTATGCTAGATCCAATTGCTATATTAGGGAAACGGCCGCCCAAACCGATAGCATACACCAAACGATATTACAGGGAAGCAAGTTGATGTAAGGATTGACGGCTTGCTACTTGCGAATATGAAGCCCTAACTTGTACCAATGGCTCAACCCAGCCGACATCGAATGACATAACAGACCATTAAACTAAACATCACGGCGAGCAGCGAACCAAGATTGAGTGGGGGCCGGCGGCGGAGCGCACACCTATGTGGTCGGTGAATCCTCCAGCATGCACTTGATACTTGATCAGTGAGCAAAACCTCAACCAAATTCGAACCAAATCAATTACGCAGCATGCCCCCGTGTAAGCATGCTGCGAAGTTCACTCGGCGTGCTTCGTGTGCGCACATTGACGTGTTCTTTTTCTTCGTCCTTGATCTTCTCCCCAACCACTTCTAATCCTCTCGCACGTCTCCAGCGATACAACTATCCCAAAGCGCATCATCATGTTATGTCGTCGGATGGCGAGTCCCAATCCATCGCCTACCGCTTTATTGAAGATGTTGAAGACATTTCAAAATATCGTCCTGGGGGGTTCCATCCTACTTACATTGGCGACGCACTGAAGGATAGGCAGTATCGCATCATGCACAAGTTGGGGTACGGTGGCTATTCAACCATTTGGCTAGCTTTGGACACGTTGCGCCGGGAGTACGTCGCGATTAAGATATGTTCCGCTCACGCTAGCGATGATTCGGTAGAAGAACAAATACTCCAGCACCTGTCGAATACAGAGCAGGAGAGCCCCGTCACCCACCCTGGGAAACATCTGGTTCAATCCTTGCTGGATGTGTTTGACCTTCGGGGCCCGAATGGTCACCACAAGTGCCTCGTCATGCCCCCGGCTATGATGAGTATTGGTGATGCCAAGGAGGCGTCATACTCAAGGCTCTTTCAGCCGAACGTTGCCCGTTCCATAATATCACAACTAGCTCTAGCTGTTGGCTTTATGCACGAAAAGGGCATTGTACATGGTGGTCAGTCTCCCTCCAGACTTCTTCAGTATAGCTGTAATAGTCTTACACTCTGCATAGATATCCACATGGGAAACGTCTTTTTCAGGCTGCCGCTCGATGTCAACAACCTTACGCCGGAGGAAATCTACCAGAAGTATGGAGAGCCTGAGCTGGAGCAGGTCGTTAGAGAGGACCGCAATCCCGTCGGCGACGGTGTCCCGAGCCACCTTGTCGTACCCATCTGGATGGGGAAATCAAGCGAAGACATGGAAATGTCCGAAGCTGAAGTCCTTTTGAGTGATTTCGGCGAGTCGTTCATGCCGGCCTCTGTTGATCGATTCTACTCGAATTCACCTCTGTCTTTTCGTCCGCCAGAAGCTCGCTTTCCATCGAAGCCGTTGGGTTTTGCCGCCGATATCTGGAGTTTGGCATGTCTCTCCTGGGAAATTCTCGGAGCGCGACCCCTATTTGAGTCATCGATGGCGACCGATGACGACGTACTCGCTGATATAGTTGACCTACTTGGAAAACCCCCCCCTGAATGGTGGACGCAATGGAATGCGCGTTCTCAATTCTACACCGAAGACGGAGAGTCGGGTATTAAGCTGGCACCAGAAAGGCTACCGGGGACTTTAAGATGGGGCTGGAGCGAGCGTTTGGATTTGTGTGTACAACGGCCGCGACGGGAAGCAGGGTTTGATGGGATTAGCGAAAAGGAGTGGACTTCACTGCTGGCTATGCTGCAGTCCATGATGCATTTTGAGCCAGATCAGCGAGCCACGGCAAAACAGATTCTCCAGAGTGACTGGATGAAACACTGGGCTGGTTGCAAAGAAAACTCTAGATAGGAAGTCATAAGGGCGCAAATTAAACTCCATTGGCCGGGGCGGAGAACATGACGCGAACATCCTGAGCGGCGAGTAGCTTCGAAGTCAATCGAGTAATATTGGTTGACGCTAGGATACGCTGCAGTGATACTTTGACAGTAACCCTAAGCAGCAAATGACTGCCACCCATAGGCACACAAGCTTTCATTCAATGCTCTACGATGTTATTCTATGCTTTCTAGAACGAGAGATGATCATACGGCGCGATTCCTCCATGCCCTTAGTCCGCTTTTGGTGGTCACTACACCTCCACGTCGACGCGGCCCTCTGCACTCGAATATAACCTTACTTGTTCACTCGGTACGATATCTGAAGCGGGATGGCAACGGTTAATTTTACTGCCATTTCACACTAGTTTCATATACAGGATGTGGTGACTAGATGAAGCTATGAAATAGATCAAGCGGGGGTAGAGCTATCTAGCTCGAGTTACCACATATTACACGTTGAAATACAGCGAGGGCTCGCCACCACACTGCTCTTTACATGCTGGGCATCAATCGCGCTGAGGTAGTAGCCTTCTAATCTTCCTACCTCTTATTATTATCAGCCTTGAAGCCGTCATTTAAATCCTGGACAGTACTAAAATACTAGTAGTACATTTGACGAACCCTGGCAGCCATAGCCTGGCACCCCTGTCACAAGCTCGGCAGGACTGGGGTCTCGGAATGCCGAACATTCCAATCAGCCAGTCATCAGGCACTTGCGCCAACCTCGGCACGCGCTAATCTCGGATAATGTCATTACGTGACGTTCTGCCGCGTCAAGCCGGCTGGCTACTCAAGTCTGCTTCTGACATGTGCTATCTGTCCAAAAATCAGAGTGCTAGCTACGTAGCAGGTAGCAGTGGAAAGAGGACCCAAAGAGACTCTTGAGCATCCTAACTTCAAAGCGACGCAGAGTGTCAGGTGCGGCAATCTCATCTCCCAGTCTGCCTGGGGGCTAGAAATTCATCCAGCGATCCGACTCACTAATACGCCAGCTCTACTCGCCCAATTATGACGGTAGTCACGAAACAAGCACCTCGTCAGTCACTGACAGTGGTGGATAACCGGACCAACAAGGTCTATGAGGTCCCTATAAAGAATAACTCTGTCCTGGCAACAGACTTCAAGAAGATCAAGGCCGAGCAGGGCGGCGACCGGAAAGAAGATGAGACGGACCAAGGCTTGCGCATGTATGACCCGGCGTACATGAATACGGCCGTGGTGCAGAGCAAAATCACCTATATCAATGGGCAGGAAGGCATCCTCCGTTATCGCGGTTATCCTATTGAGCAGCTTGTCAAGAAGAGTAACTTCCTAGAGACAGCCTTCCTCCTCATCTACGGAGAGCTGCCGACGACATCGCAGTACGAGAACTGGCAAAACGAAGTCATGCACCACAACTACATCCACTCAGATATAGAGGGCATGTTCAAATCGTTCCGGTACGACTCGCATCCTATGTCAATGTTGACTTCAGCGTTTGCTACGATGGGCGCTTTTGCCCCAGAGGCCAACCCCTCGCTTGCGGGACAGAAGCTCTACACCAACGCGGCATCTGGCGACCTCGCGTCGCTACAGATCCTCGACAAACAGATTCTCCGTATCATCGGAAAGGCGCCGACTTTAGCTGCAGCATCTTACCGAATGCGACAAGGCCGGCCCTTCAACCGCCCAGCACAGGGCTTGTCCTATACCGGAAACTTCCTGTATCTACTGGATCACCTCTCCGGCGCCGAATATAGGCCGCACCCCGTGCTAGAAAAGGCCCTCGATGCCCTTTTCATTATCCATGCCGACCACGAGGTCAACTGTTCAACCGCGACCGTTCTGCAAGTTGGCAGCTCCCTGGTAGACCCATTTAGCGTAGTGGCAGCGGGGTGCGCTGCGCTGTACGGCCCCTCACACGGTGGCGCGTCAGAGAGCGCGATTCGTATGCTCATGGAGATAGGATCGCCTGATAATGTACCGGCATTCATGCAGAAGGTTGAGCGTCGAGAACGCGTTCTCGTCGGTTTCGGCCACCGTGTCTATAAGAACGTAGACCCCCGATCAACAGCAATCCGCGCACTAGCCGACGAAGTGTTCCGTGTCACAGGGCGCAACAAGCTCCTGGATACGGCGCTCGCGCTGGCAGATTATGCGCGTAAGAGCGAGTTCATGCGCAGCCGAAATCTCTACCCCAACGTCGACTTCTATTCGGGTCTCATTTATCAAGCGATGGGCTTCCCACTAGATTTCTACCCAGTCCTCTTTGCCGTGCCAAGGTGCGTCGGGTGGCTGGCCCACTGGCGTCAGATGATGCTCAACCCATCTGGTGTTAAGATATGGCGGCCCCGACAGATATACCTCGGAGAAGGCGAACGAAACTACGTTGAGGCTGGGCAACGTGACGAGAAGAAAGATGCGACAGTTTTTGATGCGCCTTCTCCAATTCTACACGGAGACGATAGTAAAAGGAATGCGATGGCCACCTATAAGGACGAGACAGGAAGGGCTTGGGGCAGGGCAAAGCTATGATCTAGTTTGATATCTGTTTGTTTCTTTATACTCTTCGATAGATTTCATTTTCTGCCACTTGGCTATATGGATATTTTCTTATGGGAGTAACGGAGGGGTTGCCATCTTTTCATCAGTTTGCTGTCCCCACGAGGAATTCACTTAGGCCAGGACAACTGAGCAGCTATTAAGTCGTATCAAGTATCGATCTAACCTATCTCAATTGACCCAGAAGAAGAATTGCTTGTGGGCCTATTCGTCGATCAATCCAAAGCGCTTCGTGATCCGTAATTGTACCTGAACTAGGTAGGCTATGACCTAACCTACTATGATCTCCATTTCCTGTCCCAGTCCATGACTGCTCATGATCTAATTGCGCTCGGTTCAAGGAGCAGACCGGAGGTAGGTCCGCGCGGAGCATTACGAACGTAGTGCGAACGTTCCTGGTCTCTGCATAGTACGATCTACTTTGCTGGTATTTCTTTCACTGTAGCCAAGCCCTTCAAATAATTACACAGTCGTGACGTCATGACGTGAACTCCCAAACTACAACCAACATGTGGCAGTTTTCCTTAAGCCCAAGCGCATCTTTATTGGCATATTTTCGTTATGACGTAGTGTGTAAATTATCGGGTAAGGTAAACTAGCATAAGGTTATATATGGTTACAATTCGCCGCATATTCAATTATATCAATGCACAGTAAAATCCCCCCTAGGAAGGCCTGCTACAAAAAGCAAGCATCATCATCGCCATCTCACGCTTCTTCTTGATTTCCCCTCCCAATCTCAGACTATCAGATCTCTACAATGAGCGCCGTAAGATCCACTGCCCGAACCGCACTTACGCGGTCTACCCGCGTCGCTCGTGCGCCTTGCCCTGCACGCGTTCGTTACCAGTCTTCATCCTCCTCCTCAACATCGAGCAATGCAGCTGGTGGCCACAGCTCTAATATCGCTGCTGGCGCAGCTGGTGGTCTGGCTGCCGGTCTAGCTCTATACGGTGTCTTTCTCCTATCACCATCGGGCAAAATGCATCAGACCATTAACAAAGGTGCGAAGGAGGTTCACCAAAAATATAACGAAGCTGCCAAGAAACTTCGAGGTCAGACACCTAATGTAGACGAATCAATCCAGTATATGAAGGAATTCGCCTATTCCTATGTGTCATGGGTACCTGGTGGAAGGCACTATGTCGACACAGTATTCAAGGACGTTGAGACATTAAAAGAGAACCATCGTGAAGAGGTCAACCAGATTGTCAGCGATGCCTACAAGCAATTTCAAGACTTGGCCAAATCGGGTCTAAGCTTAGAAACAGCATCTAAGGCGTACAATATCCTAGCGGATTTGTCAAAGAAGTTTGGCAAGTTAGCTGGCAGTGCGCTGACCGATATCCTGGATAACCACCCTCAAGCGAAAGAGAAGTTTGGCGGAAGCATCGACCAGTTGAAGCAAATGGGCGAGAACTACGGCCCCGAAGCAAAGAAGCAGGTCGACCAGACATGGAATGAAGTAAGCGAGATATTAGGCGGAGGTGTCAGCACAGCCAATTTGGACAAGGTGCGACGCTTAATTGAGGAGAAGATTCAGCAAGTGAGAAAACTTGGCGACGAAGCCTGGAAAAAAGGTCTGGAAGAGGCAAAGCCATTCCTTGAGAAAAACCCCAAGGTTAAGGAACTCGTTGAGAAGAACGCAGATGCCTTGAAGCAGGGTAACGCAAAGGAGCTCTTTGACCAGGCGAAGAAAGCCGTTGAGTCAGGCAACACAGGTGCGCTCGAGGACTACGTGAACAAGGCCAAGTCGAAAAGCGAGAAGGCAGCAGGCAGCCTCGGCATCGACCAGTATTTTAAGATGATTCCCAGCGGCTCGGAGATCCTGGAGAAGGTCAACCAGTTAAGAGAGGTTGCTGAGAAGCACAGGGACGAGGGTGAGAAGCTGTTGAAGGAGACGATGGAAGAGCTGAAGCAAGTCTTGGAGAAGAAGTCGGAAAAAGCGAAAGACATCGCTGACAAGGCGAAGAAAGATGCAAATTAATGCGCTTAAAAAATTATTTCCAGAACTGTTCGTCCTACTCGAGACATTGTTCTTGTTGCAGTTTTGATACCTCAAACTGGATTGTATTTCTAGTCATCCTAAACCTTGCACTTGTACTTCATATCAACGAATAATGTACTAATAGTCACGGGTATTCCTGTGACCATACTGATCTATCTGAATCGTTATGCTGAGTGTGCCTGCGTTCTTCAAATTGGAACATTTGAAGGACAGATTATCCAACCAAGGGCCACCAAAGCACAAGAATATTGGGATTGAGGGACACATTATCAAATATACAGCCACGAGCTGCCAGAGTGAAACTGTGACGTAACTTTGTGGACACACCTTAGCACACTTGTCACGCAATACCTACTGATATCTTTCCGAATCAAGCTTTCCTGGTGCCCGTAATATTGTAAGATTGATCAATACACTAGGCTCGTATGATAGTTTACCATTCATAGACAATATATACCCTAATTTCGAGTCTAGATCCCCCAGCTCGACGCTTGAGAAGAGGAAAATCCTATCCCAATCTCTCCAGTCTCTAGTTACACTAGCCGCCAAGCGGCGCACAACCGAGCCGGACCGCGGTTACCGTGCGACGGTGCCCAGTGGCGGCACGCGGAGCTGGCAGATAACTGGAAGGTTGCGTAGCTGTTTAGAAGATGGTAGGTAGACCTTACCACAAGAACAGTGTCGTCACAATCTCCCACCACTAGATTCTCACGACGAGACAACTGTGATGACGATCTCTCTATTCCCGGTTGTATATATCGAGAGCACAAATGTGTCGAGCTCGCCTATCATTACTAGTTTCTCTCTCTCTCTACTTGAACCGTTCAGATCGATGGTGTCGCGTAAAGAAAGCCTCCGTGGGCCGTTGGCTGGCTCCGTTGGAGAGCTTGAAGCTCAATTTCCTGTGTATAAGAACTGTCTCCGATGCCAGGGATGATGTATCTGTCAATTCCTCATGAGACTCATCACCATCAGCTTGCACAATGGCCTATAATTACTATAACCCCAACCAGGTTAGTACTGGAGAGTTACTTTACCCCTTTCGCATAGTGCGAATGCAGCGTTATGCCTCTTTTCACTTTCACTGCTATGACTTAAGGCACATTCCAAAGATGAACAGTAAACGAGAAGTTAACTAACTCCTTGTTTTCGAAGAGCTCTTATGGCGCGGATTCCGGGAACTCTGGGGGAGGCAGTGAAGAGCCAGTCTTTTCAATGCAGCCTCAGGCTCACCCCACATGTGCTATACCAAGCGATGAGGTATTGGTAAAGTCGTTTTATAAGCAGCTGCTTAAAGATAGGTGGGAACTGCGCTATAAACCAAATCACGATTCCCCAGACGAATATATTCTACCTCGTAGTCTTACGGGAAATAAGCTGGTAAGTCATTCTCAAAGCCCCCTTTCACCCTTGTCTTAGTCACCTCTCAACACGGAGAAGCTCCCATCTGAAATGAAGTCGTGTTTGAGGAAGCCTACGTGTTCTCTACAGGCTTTGACAAAAAAGACCCCTGGGTTGACTCTTGATAATTCTGATGATCTATAGTGGATCCAGCGTAAGACGGCCTTCTTCAGAGCCCACAGAGATATCTCAGAAGACGAAGTCTACATCGCCAACAGGAGGAGCTTCTTACGTTGGATCGAACAGAGATTCCGGCCTGCCACAGCCGGGATCTGTGGCGCAACTGAAGATCTCTGCTTCATCGTTGGGAATTACGTCTTCTGGGTTGATCCGGCCGCGGTGGCACCACAAGTGAGCACTTGTATCATATAGGTAGTTGAGTTTCAAAGCTGAATTGATATCTCGTCGCAGCCTTCATTCAATACTGGCGTCCAGCCAAGTTTGGACTCTAGTTACTACGGAGGTGGGTATTATCCGGGTAGCAGCCGCTATTACAGGGGAAGCTCCGCTGGAAGGGCGTAGGCGGAAAAGTGATGGGATGGCTCAGGTTTCAACGAGGACGAACGGGTCTAGATGGCGGATAGTAGCTGGCGCGTTTTCAAGCTCCTCTTTCGTGTTTCTGGCCTACAGTAGGGACTTTCCTAAGACATCGTTCCACTTTCTTTCTTGACGCTCTTTAGGGTTACCTAGTAGTAGCTACCTACAGTAGGTACCTTGCTAAGTACCTACTCTTGCTTGTCAGCATTCACTGAACACGTCAAAGCTATGTTGTGTATCATGTAATGAGCGACGAGTACGCCATCAGTGGGCAGCATCAGAGCATGGTGTTTTTTTTTCCTTCTTTTTCTTTTGGCATCGGTGTCGAGACACGAGATACGCCATACGTGAGGAACAAGAAGTACATGTACTTTGACAGTTGGGGGGGCTCCCCACACTTGTCAACCAAGGCGTGGCCAATCGATAACCGATAGCGGCCCCGGATTTGACATGATACCTATGCCGTCACAGTCATGATCTGTCGATGTTGACTAGTTATCTCCTTCCTTAGACCTTACCTAGACCTACATACCTGCCTAGCTAGCTACCTGGGTAGCTCAGAATCAGCTATCATCCCCGACTTACTCATAAGATCCTTCAAGGTCTTTGATGTTGCCTGAAGTGTGACTCTTGTTGTACATACATCTGAATCAAAGTGACTCATTGACATCAACTTATATTATACCGGCCCAAATGATCCCTCGCATACACCCTCTACTTGCGACCGCCACCCAGTAAACATGACAGGAAAAGGAGCTTCTAAACAGCTGCCGCATGAGCGTAGGAAAGGCGAAGCCGTAAGGATTCGGAGTGAATGCATGTGGTGATAGACACGGTGGCGCTGATAACCCCATAGGCACTGAGCGACTTCGCCGAGTTCGTCGAGAAACAGCAAGCCCTGCGATATCCTGGCGCAAAGCCCGCCAGCTCTACCCAGCCAACAACCGAATACCATGAAGAATTAGACATACTCGATTCTCTTAATTTCAACGAATCAGAACCCCAAATTCCCTTGCGACAGCTGCTTCTACCCTCAGCCGAGGATGCCGAAAAAAACGAGGCCAAGCTTGTTGAGCACATCGGTGAGCGACTAGCGGAGGGCCATGGTGAAGCTATGTTCGACGTAGGCTTCGAAGACAACGGTGAATCAATGCGACTCACCCGCGATGAATGGGATGTGGCCTTGACCCGCTTGAAAGATGCCGCCAAGAAGCATAACGCCGATTGCAACGTCCTGCTCACAAAGAACGTTGGAGGTGACATGGAGGCTGAGTCAACAGCGGGCAGTAACGATAGCAAGGACAAGGTCAGGGACTGCACTGGAAAAATATTAGTGCGCCAGGCCCCTGCTACTGTCGAAGGAGTCATTGAGACTCGCATTGCTGTGGTTGGAAACGGTAGGCCATCTGCATTTTTGTCTTGCTAGACTGTCTACTAACCCCCTATAGTCGACGCTGGCAAAAGTTCCATGTTGGGTGTTCTAGTCAAGGGTGATCTCGACGATGGCCGTGGAAAGGCTCGTGTCAACCTCTTTCGCCACAAGCACGAAATTGAGACTGGTCGGACTAGCTCAGTGGGAATGGAGATCATGGGCTTCGATACAGTCGGGAATGTCATCACCTCCGACACTCCTGGTAGAAAACTATCGTGGGAGGAAATTGGCAAGCGAAGTGCTAAAGTTATTACTTTCACCGATCTTGCCGGCCACGAGCGTTACCTAAGAACCACCGTCTTCGGGTTATTATCCAGCAGCCCCAACTATTGCCTGCTTATGGTAGCAGCCAATAACGGGCTCATTGGTATGAGCAAAGAACACCTCGGCATTGCCTTGGCGCTCAATGTACCGATCATGGTGGTAGTCACCAAAATTGACATATGTCCACCAAACATTCTAGAGCAGACTATTCAACAGATCACCAAAATCCTCAAATCCCCCGGGGCTAAGAAAATGCCCATCTTCATTAACAACCGGGAGGAGTGCATTAATACCGCTACCCAGTTCGTGAGCCAGAGGATTTGCCCTATTTTCCAGGTATCCAATGTTACAGGAAAGAACTTGGACCTTGTACGGACGTTTCTGAACATCTTGCCTCACCATGGGCGTTACGATTCGGAAGCACCATTTGAGTTCCATATTAACGATACTTTCTCTGTTCCGTTCGTTGGTACTGTTGTTAGTGGTATTGTCAAGTCCGGTGTTATTCATGCAGGGGACAATGTCCTCATTGGTCCCGATTCACTAGGACAATTCGTGCAAACTAGCAGTAAGTGCTCCTATTCCTTATTCAGCTCTCTCTTAGCAACCCCTGGGTGCGGGAATCTTATAAAAGATGTCATACTACCGACGCCTTTTATATACACATACACTCTCAAAATATTACGAAGTAAAATGAACAAAAGGGAGCTAACTAAAATCCGAAGTTCGATCAATCGAGCGGAAACGAATTGGTGTCCCGGCAGCCTCCGCCGGGCAGTCGGCGAGCTTTGCCCTTAAGAAGATACGGCGGAAAGATGTCAGGAAAGGCATGGTAGTCCTACCAAAAGTCGAGGGTCAACCAGCTCCAAAAGTATACCGAGAATTCATTGCTGAAGTTCTTATTCTGTCACACGCGACCACTATCAAGACAAAATATCAGGCGATGCTACATGTTGGGCCAGTTCAACAAACGTGTGCTATCATCGACGTGGACCGCCCATTTATTCGAACTGGTGACCGTGCGACGGTGGCATTTCGCTTTGTCCAGCGCCCAGAGTATCTTGCCCCCGGGGATCGGCTGTTGTTCCGTGAAGGCCGAACGAAAGGCCTGGGAATTGTAAAATCCGTTGGATATGACCCGAAGAACCCATTGGGGCCAAGACCAGCGGACGATACCTCCAACGCGCCGGAGGAGTCTAAACCATCCGCCGATCAGGGCCTGCAAGCACCCCCGGGTGTGAGAGTTGGGGCCTGAATTGCATCAACCTATTGCTAGCTGCTCGTTTGGCCGATAACCAATCCGCCACAGCCAAGGCAAGGCGAGGTAAGGGACAGCCTATCACCACACGCCAGCTTGCTCGTGTAATCGAACTTTAGTCCATTACCTATTACGTGTATACGGCATTCATTGAATTATAGTAGGGCTGAATGGAGTTTAAAAGGAGTTAGGCGTCACATGAGATCGAAACCACGACGTTAGACGCTCAGAGGAATGATTACATGACAGCATAACCGTCGCTAGGTAGTATATTTACCTTGTACCTTGCTTCCATTGCTTACATAGAATACGCCGTATATACGGCATATTTATATAAATTATAGACATGTGCATGACCTTTTCCCTTGGCCTACATGTGCAAAGTGCCAATGCGTTTGGTTGGCGTTGTATCGGTACCTTGTATGAAAGTTGAGCATTTATTGTACCTACAGCGGATGACATGGATGGAGAGGATTTATAATTCCTATTGCGCAATTGGCCGCTAATTTAGGTGATTACAGGTGCTTGCTCTCGGCACCCAGCTTACCGGCACTGGGTCACTGCGCCGCATGTGTACATATTCGTCGATGGGACGATTAAAATACCGTAGGAGCTGTCATGTTGGAAGATAAAATTAAAAAAAAATGTAAGGCCTCTTTCAAGCATGAAGATAGATGTGTGAATATTAGAATTGCATCGAATCTACTGTAATACTTGGATTCTTGCCTATCTACACAATCATAGCACAAGCTTCTTCATCTTTTCTAGAAAGCCAGAGGTACGCTAGATTACTAAGGCATGGAAATGATCCATTCCAAATCCAAAGGACGGCGCATATTAGTTTGGGAGCGCCGACCCCGATTGGCTTGGGGCCACTTCCAGTGGACTGATTAGGCGGTATAGTGGTCTTGTCTTCTGCAAGTATAGCTTTGTCATCCTGCGTTTCTGAAACCTCGCTTTAGTCTAGCTGATAAACTTCATGGGCTTTTCTCATTACAGCACTTCATAGAAGTTTAGAAGTTGAAAATTTTCTAAAATTACTTAGATAGCCGGCCATGTTCGACTCACGGAGCGCTCAAGTTCCCTCAACAACGATGTGTATTTTACTTGCGGCGGAACCTTCACAAGCTGGCGCATGCTAGAACGGGGTTTGCCGCAGCAGCTAGGCGTCTCCCTTACCTTGTTGGGACTCCGGTGCCAATCACGAACTTCCCCAGATTAGCTGTTCTAAGTAAGTACTTGGAAGGGGAAAATCACACCTGTCTGCCACCTAAACAAACAACTGTCAATGTATTATCACCATATCTCTTTCCCAGAAAAGTGATATTATACTATGTATTTTCTGTACCGTAAGCCATGCGGTTTCAATACGTTCAATGGACACTAAAGTCGATGTTTTAGATACGCTTGAAGGCACTTGAACTGTTACACTTTCTGGTTACATCGGACTTTCTAGTTAGGGATGGTCCCGATTCGGAGCGTGTGTCAGGGGTCCATGACATGATGACAGCACCTAGACCCTTATATCTAAAGTGTCCTTTGTACACTACACTAGCAGTGTCTCATGTTCTGGGCGGGAGGGCCTAAGCTACCTAGCCAGCAGTGATTATTTGCTTGAAATCTTCTACTTTATTCTCTGCTGTGCTGATAGGTAGGCAAAAGCCCTTCCATCATGTGAAGGATCTCTTGGCGTTCTATTACCGCAGTTCTCCGCTGTGAACGGTCATTTGGTAACAAAATATAATAGTGGCTGCTCCCAACTGGGCCTTGGCATCGAAACCACTGGGATTGTGACTTGAATTGGCGGCCACATAGGATCATGTCGGCTAGGTGCCTACTACTATGCTGTTCGCTGTGGTAGCGAAGGATTGTGAATGTAGTGTACTACCCAGCCTGCCTATAGTAATAAAGGTATCGTGCATGTGGAAACTAGCTATCCCATAGAGCCCCTAACGATCGGACGGTCGGATGGTTGTTAACTACCTGGGTTGCCTTGCTATAACATAGTATAGAGACCAACTACTCCAGGTACTACGCTATGCGCCACGTTGCAGATCTAAGGTACCGTGACTCTAAAAATAAAAACGAGGTATGAGAATTGTGTGTTAATATTGAATGGTGGTTCGACCGTGGGAGACGGGCGACTCTGTCTGATATGTCGTAGGTTAGTTACGGTTACCTAAGTAGTAAGCGATAGAGCTTACACCTGTCATCCTGCCAAGGGGTCTCGGTCGGAGAGTCTAAACCCGTTAAACACAAATAAGATCAACAACCCAGCAAGATGCATGACATTGGCCTGCTCCCTAGCCACCGTAGTGTAGTATCGACAGAGGGTTCCGACCTAGCTGGATGCTTATTATAGTATTCCGATCGACATGCTGAACATGCTTTGCTTACCTTAAGGGCGGGTAGCTTGGCACGAGTTGCTGCATGGCCTTTTAAGTATCAACCCTCACCCTCCATTTCTTCTAGTGACCCTTCAAGTTGGCTTTTGGCGCATCGTCACTGTCAAAGGGGATACGACTTGGTGGCTCATTCTGCGACGTCCGTTGTATATGAGAAGTTCGAATTATTTCAACAATATTTAGCAGCGCCAGTCGGCGGAGACAGCCAAAATGGCGCTCATTTACTACGGTCTCGTCCTGGTATGTCTATTCCGCGCCCACCGCCTTTCTTCATAACTGCAAAAATACGACACATGGCGTGCCCAGTGTCTTTTAAGGACCACATTTGAAAAAACTAACAGCGATACTGTAACTAGGGCGCCCTGTATGTGGTCGGATCCTTTCTCTACAACCTCCTCCTACACCCTCTAGCAAGATTTCCCGGCCCGGTCTCTCACCGAGGCTCCTACCTGCCACGTGCCTGGCACTTATTCAACGGCACACTCACATTCCATGTTGGTGATCTTCACCGGAAATACGGAACTGTTGTCCGTATCGCACCCAATGAGTTAGCATACGCCAGCCCTCAGGCCTGGCACGATATTTATGGCCACAAGAAGGCTGGTGAGGAGGAGTTCCCGAAGTCCGACCGCCTCTACAAGCTGTTCATTGACCCTCCGAGGCACATCATCAATGCCAGACGTCAGGAACATGGTGCCCTACGCCGCCAATTGGCTCACGGTTTCAGTGCCCGCACTATGGCCGAACAGGCTCCTTTGATCCGCTCATACGTGGATCTCTTGATCCAGCGTCTCCGCGAAAACATTGAGAAGGCCCCTACTGTCCCGCTTAACATGCGTGATTGGCTTAACTACACGACCTTCGACGTTATTGGTGATCTTGCCTTTGGTGCCCCCGGTGGCTTCGGCTGTCTGCAGCAGAGCGACTACCACCCCTGGGTCCGTCTTCTGACTGACACAATCCGAGAGAACGCCTGCTTGATTGCTCTGGCCAACATCGGCCTCAGCACTCCCATCCAATGGCTTGGCAAGACTGCCGCCTCTAAGAACACCCAGCACCGCGCTGTTGTGAAGGAGAAGGTGCAGCAACGTCTGGAACTGGGAGCCGAGCGTCCCGACTTCATTGAGGGATTGCTCAAGCGCAAGGATGAGCTCGACCTTGATATTGACCGCCTTACCATGAACGCATCTATGCTTGTCATTGCCGGCTCCGAGACCACTGCCACCCTGATGACCGGCGCTCTGTACCTTATCACGAGATACCCCGAAGTTCAGCGCAAGCTTGAACACGAAATCCGATCCAGCTTCAAGAGCGAAGACGAGATCCTACTAAACACCGTCAATGAGTTACCCTACATGTTGGCTGTCCTCAACGAATCCCTGCGCCGATACCCCCCTCTTGCCAGTGGTATGCTTCGTGATGTTCCTAAGGGCGGTGCCACAGTTGATGGCGACCCGCTCCCTGAAGACGTGAGTTGATCCCCCCTTGGAGGTGTTGTTGAACACACCAAAACTTGAAGCGAAGAGCTAGCACTGACTTGAATACAGACCGTTGTTTCCGTCTTCCAATGGGCTATTAACCACTGGGACAAGTACTGGACCGACCCCATGGAATTCCGACCCGAGCGCTGGCTGGGTGACGCCAAGTACAAGACCGATGTATTCGACGCCATGCAGGCTTTCAGCACCGGCCCCCGCAACTGCATCGGAAAGAAGTGAGTCCTTCCCACCCGTACGTTTCTTATCGCCTTAGATACTAACATGTTCGAACAGCCTTGCGTACGCTGAGATGCGTCTCATCGTCGCCCGTATCATCTTCAACTTCGACTTGACGCTCGACCCCGAGTGCCGCGACTGGATCGACGGCCAGAAGGCCTACGTCATCTGGCACAAGCCTCCTCTAAACATCCACTTCAAGCCCCGCGTGTTCTAAGAAGTATAAAGTTACTTGCCATATTAAACTAGCTAAGGCTAAGCGTCAGAAGACAAAACAAGCCAACGAAAAGGAGCGCTTGAGAATTTATTGTTTCAGCGCAACCTGATATATATATTATATGATTTTGCTTGATCGAATTCTATAGAGAGGCGATATCATGATTTGCATTTGTGGGTGGTGTTTCTGGATTGCGTAGGTCCAGAATTCTTGGATGTATATGTGGAAATAGTTAGACTACTCACATCCAAATGGAGGATGCATGTGATAGTAATTAAAACAAGTTAACCTCCATGATATTCCACGTGCTTGAATGCCCCCCCATTCTTGAAATCCCACTACTTTGATGAAATCCAAGCATGAGCCCTTGAATCATGGGTACACGTTGACAGCGTCTTGTCCCAGTATACTCATTGGTGCTCCTCTCGCGATATTGTTTGCCATGATCAACTTGCGGTGATGAGAGAAATGCTGATACAGACTTCCAAATGAAAGCTTGTGATTAGTCAATTTTAGAAAATCTAAGCCTTAGATCATAAAAAGAAATAAGAAACATCACTAGGCCCATTTTTGATTGTATCTGAATCAGAAACCTGGGTCCTTGACTCAAACGTCTTTCCCTTAAGTAGATAAACCTGACGGGCCAGGGCTAGGAGGCTGGAGTAGTCCACGTATATCAAGGAATATGAAAACCGAGCAGAGAAAACTCATGAGATATCAGCAAGTCAAGACTGAATATGTTAGGCACACACACACATACGTTGTTGGATACCGTGATGGCGTCATGCGGCAGTAGCGTTGAACTTTTGCATTTCACCACAAGTGAGATCGATCAGTGTATTTGATACTCGGTAGTCCTATCTTCAGTACCTATCTAGGTATGTGATTTGTTCGGTATCCCTTGCAGAATAACAAGAGGCTAAGTCCCTGCTGTACTCACCGACCAGCATTTTCTTCTCTGTTTCTAGATATTGGTTGTTATGACGAGGCGTAGGTAAATACAATACGAACATGACGGAGGTTCGGCTCAGTTATCCCGGCTCTCCGTTAGCTTGCCGTCTTGGCTTTTGGCCTCAAGCGTCAACAGTCTGAATCCCTACTTCATTATTATGTTCACGCCTTCTCTTTCCTCATTATGTAGACAGTATAGAGATAGATATGATAGAACAGCTGAATGGGGTTCCCATGAAGCATGCATGCATTAGATAAAATCAATGTCTTGATGTGTCAGTTGGCCGATTTTCGGCGATGCCTTTGTGTTGGAAACGGGCGGGCTACGATTGGACAATGGCTTATCGGTGGTAACTCGGGAAGTGGATCCAACCAAGGCCATCTTCCCACCTATCAGCGTCGTCCCTCCCCACTTCGTCCGCTACGGGCGCGCATCCGCTCGATATTAGCCATCGGCTTGACAACAAAAATCCCCGTGTAGCAATGATAACAGCTGAATGTTGATTCAACTCAACGGAGCTTAAATATCTATTTCTTATGAACCGCTCGCCCCTCGAGGGTGCCATTGCTTGCGGTCATCTGGGAGTTTCATCTGGCGGTGGTCCTTGTTCTCCCTGACTCACAGGTCGTCTAGTACACCGATTCTCTGGCCGTCCGCCGTCCGCCGCACACCGTACACGATGAGGCAAGCAGTCGCGCAACAGCTGGGCCTGTTGCAACGCGCCCTGCGGTGCCAATGTCGCCCGTATTCAACAGTAGGACGGAGATTGCGACTCGGTGGCACAGCAAAGACACTATCTTCACCAGCTTCCACCTATGTAACACGATTGAAGCACGCTCGACATTTTAGCATTCAAACCGAGAATGAAGACAGTCCTCAATCAGGCACATATAGCGAAGCTGACCACGAACATGCTGTCATCTCAACTTTCGATCTCTTCTCCATCGGCATTGGCCCCTCGTCTTCACACACCGTTGGACCCATGCGAGCTGGCAACATCTTTGTTGCTGATCTTGTCGAAGCCGGACTTCTCCACCAGGTTCATAAGATCCACATAGCTATCTACGGTAGCCTTGCGCTCACCGGAGAAGGCCACATGACGCCATCTGCCCTCATTCTGGGTCTCGAGAGTGCCGATGTTGAGACTGTTGACACTGCATATGTCCCTCGGCGCTTTACCGAGATCAAGAAAAAGAGGAAGCTTTATCTTGGCCATGGTCTTGCCGAAGGAAAAGGAAAAGAAATCGACTTTGACTACGACCGTGACTTCAAGTGGGAATGGGGCCGGAAGCTCCCGTTGCATAGCAATGGCATGCGCTTCACCGTCTTCGATAAGGACGGTACGATGCTGGCAACGAATGACTTGTTTAGTGTCGGTGGCGGTTTTGTTGTGAACGGAGCCCTTTCCAAGGCCTCGTCTTCACCTTCTGTGACTAGTCAGGCTGCGGAAATGGGCCAGCCAGAGTCTAATGAACTGCAAGTTGAATCAAGCGGTGGGAGCCCGGCAGATTTGGCCGAGAACATGTTCTACAAGGAAATCAGGCGCGCAGATGCGGCGGGAGACCGACGGACAGGGCCCGAGATCAGGCCCATTGAGACTACTGACGATTCTACCGCGCTGGTTGATACACGATCTGCTGGCCCTTCCATTGGTTCAGTTCCAATAGATCCCATACCCAGCACCACAGAAACTGGCCCTCAGACGCCCCGTTACCCGTTCCGCGACGGAGCGAGCTTGCTAGCACTGTGTAATAAACACAATCTCACAATCGCCCAGCTGGTGTACGAGAATGAGAAAAGCCATGGTTACACTGACAAAGAGATTCACGAAAAGCTACTCCGCATTTGGGAGGTAATGGATCAGAGTATACTCGAGGGTGTACAAGCACCCCTCGATACTAAGCTGCCAGGATCTCTGAGGCTACATAGACGTGCACCAGGTCTATACAAGCGACTAACTAGGGGGCTATACCCATCTGGCCAGAGTCTCGCGGCGCCAAATTCTCAGGGGCAGCTGTCATCTGGAAAGCTAGAAGCGACACAGTCAGTGTCAGCCTCGAGCAGCGAAGCAGTGGAAATAACCAAGGCTCTCAGCCGAAGGGGTCTAAACGGCAAGGGACGACCACGTGTTCATGGATTAATAGCTCACCCAATCATGCCCTCACCGCCCCGACGAACCTCCCTTCCAGCCATGGACTATTTGACTGTGTACGCAATCGCGGTAAACGAGACCAACGCGGCAGGCGGGCGAATCGTGACGGCGCCTACTAACGGTGCGGCGGGTATCATCCCAGCCGTGCTCAAGTATACCATTGAGTTTATCAGCGATGACCCGATAGGTGATGTCTTAACCTTCCTTCTCACGGCTTCAGCCATAGGCATGCTCTACAAGCGAGGAGCCACCATCTCCGCTGCAGAAGGCGGATGCATGGCTGAAGTAGGGGTTGCCTGTTCAATGGCAGCCGGCGCATTTGCGGCATGTATGGGTGCCAGCCCGGAGACCATTGAGCAGGCCGCGGAGATAGGTATCGAGCACAACCTGGGCCTCACGTGCGATCCTATTGGCGGCCTCGTTCAGGCGCCCTGCATCGAGCGCAACGCCCTTGGCGCCGTCAAGGCCATTTCAAGCGCGAACTTGGCGCTGAGTTCTGAAGCCGGGACTCAGAAGGTCAGCCTCGACGACGCGATCCGGGCCATGAGGCTAACGGCCGAGGGCATGCGGAATGAGTTCAAGGAAACAAGTCTCAGTGGATTGGCTACAAGTGTGCCGTTGAACATTCCTGTGAGCGTGCCTGACTGTTAAGGACTCTACCTACTGCCTTTTCTTGCTCTTCTGTTCATATCAGACAGAGCCTTCTGCCTTTAAGCGTTTGGGTTTGGGTTTTTCTTTTCGGTATTTGCTACATAATACTTTGATAGAGTATGGCGTTGCTGGTCATTTCAGAGGAATCCAGCCATGGAGGGGGGTCACGATATTAAATCTCACGGGACGTCTTCTTCGTCACAAAAGGGTGAAGTGAAGGCTCCCGCTTCCGCCTTACACTAGGTAGAACCCCATAGATTATTTGTTTTAGATCAATAGATTTCGGTCAGCCAGCTGCACTACTATGAACCTCCTCAGAATCCCCATTGCGGGGGAGGCTTTTAGAGTCACAAGACTAGTCTGCCTCGTGGTCGCTCGCTAGACTACGGCGCGAACGCCGCATGAGTTTTCCTACTTCCCGGAGAACCCCAGGGTGGAGAGACTAGCTCGTGTTAAATCTCCTTGACCATGGGGTAGTGAATGCCCAGACGATTTGCATTTCACTTATTTATAAAGTTTCGGCACGCGCCCCGATGTACATATAGGTAGGTAGGTAGTCAGCCGGTGGTGGACGGGCTGGAAGGAAGAAAGGGGGGGGGAAATATGAACATTTCCGGCGACGCAGCGATATAAAGCCCGTGTTTTCTCCGCGGAGATGGCCGCGTAACGCTGCCGAGTTTCCCCCGTGGCGTGATGGTGCGCACACTAGCTCAAGTCGATGACGTGAGCCGAAGTCGGGATACCTACCCTTTACCTGCATCTCTTGGACTTTGAGTGCTGTAGGTAGATGATATACTTAAGTACAGCTGCGCTAGATCTGTATTCCCTCTGCGCCAAGTCGCTTCAATTTGATCAGATGACAGATGATAGTCTGTATAGTACGTAGATGATCGCAGCCACGCGCATGTCTGGGCATGCAGACTGGGAATAGGACTAGAGGTTAGAGGTTCCTTGAGGATCTTGAAGTACCTATCTAACCTACCGATCTGGACTACTGGAGTAGGTAGCTGGGGTAGATAGCAGTAGGGAGCGAGTTAGAATAGCGTCCCGGATTTCCTTCAAGATAGCTTCGAGGTCTGCTTGGAAAGTCCGGGGAAATGCTTGACGGACATGCAGCTAAGCTGCGTCAGGCCGTTGCTCAGTAATGCTCTTTTAAGGTTCTCATTACGCGTTCCAACTTTGACATGCGCCATGGCGGATTGGACGTTGCTTGATTGCATGAGGATTGCAGGTACCGGAGAGTTACCAGTATTACCGGGTCACATGTGACGTAGCTGGTTCAAACTTGTCACCAACGACCAACATGTGATGATCTCCACTGCCAATGGCTATTATTGATCTGGCGCTATATGCCGAAGGACTTGGAAATCAAGATAATGGATGAGTAATGTCCTTCTCTGTCATTTTTCCCGGTCGGTCTCCCCGGTTGTCTTTGCTCAACACTTGCCGTTTTGACATAATTCTGTCTCACTCGAAACTGCATCCGGGCATGTCTGGACATTAAGCGCTGTGGAATTTTTAGCAGTCAGGATCAGTGCTGCAGGGAAGCGTCTGGTTGCTGTGAATGAAATAGAAGAGGAGGGCGTAGTTGCGTATGCGTGTCTCAAGTAGAAGATCGAGTGGGTACGGGGAGTTACAGAACGAAATATCGTATGGAAGCTATTTGTTGGATGAGAGGCGCAGCGACAGAGAAAAGTGACCCGGGCTGATACGTAAAATTTATTCCAAAAAATCCATTCAATAACTTCCTATTGCAGTTTTCCCCCCTAATAGAAGTGTCATACCGCTAGAAAACAATGGTTGCTCACATGTTGTGACGAAACGTCGAGAAATTTTCCTTTGGTGGAGTCTCGGCAAGGCGCGGCATTGCATCCGTCCACATCAACATATATACGTGAAACAGATCGATCGGGCTACCGATCCATCGAGTATACGGAAGAAGGCCCGAGAATAGAAAAAAAAAATCCAGTCATTGAAAGAAGGGGCTGTACAAAAAAAAAAAAAAAAATTCGCTTCTCTTAGATGCTAGCTAAGTAACCTGTTCTTTGTCCAGTTGCTTGCAGGGATGTCTACTAGTGTGATGCAGAAGTTAAAAAGGTGGCCAATGATATCTTAGACTGCCCACGGGTTGGGAAGAGCATATGCCAGGCACAGGGCTTAATTAACACATACAGGACAGAAGGGTAGCAGATCGACTGACGGGATGCCGTTCTAGTACCTTTTTTTCGCTACTATGTAGATGAATGCTTTTTTTTTTATCGTACCAAGCTGTGACATTCTAGACTCCATGTTGAATGAAGTTGGACGGCTTAAACTGGGTCGATTCACATGCGGCTCTTCCTGACGGGTTACTTTGTTGGTGTGCGTTGTGGATTTCATAGCGTAACCATGTCGTAACTAGCTCCATCACCAGCGGCTATACTTAAGCGAAAGGCCATGCGTATACACATACATAGTAGTAGCCCATGAGCCGCATGATACCGATCCGTATTTCACGATGGCTTCATTCAGGTGGAGTCTAGGGGAAAATTCTTCTTCTCCTTTACTGCTTATGTACCACGTAGCAACGCGTGAGTCCATACGATGTGGAGTTGTCTTGTGGCTCGGGAGTGATGCCGTATTACTACATGTACACTTGTGGTAAGTACACGCAGGTGTGTGTCAGCAACGTCAGGGAGTGGAATCCCTCTTTCAGACTCTCTGTACGAGCAAACAAAATGGCATTTTGGTGATACGGATTGTGGCTAGATGGGTATGCGATTGTCCTCCAGACGATCTCCCGATGTACGATGTGTTTGTGATACCGAGTAAGTAATCAATCACTCCAGTAGAATCAGCCCTTCTGGCTCTCTTTTAAGGCTGCTCTAGTACCTACCCTTTTGGGCATCCCATGTTCTCAATACCGCCGGATTATTGGACAATACGTTACGTCAAGTATTCACAAGCAAGTACCTGGCATTCTTTCTGCTTCCATGTTGAAAGCTGCATACTATGTAAGGTCCTATAATAGATATATACACACGTATATACATACTGTATGCAGTACATGGCCCTACGATACTCAGACTTTGTGAAACACTTGAGAGGTAAGTGTGTAGGTATTTGGGCGGTTTGGTTTGATACCAGCACCTATATCTGACCTATCTACTTACTATGTAAGTGCCCGTGGCTTACACTTATGCTGTTGTTCATGACGCCATAAGGCGAATATCGAAATGAGATGGTGAGATCAGGGCGAGGCAAGATTCAGAACATAAGTAATTTATTGGCATTGACGCAGGGATTGTGCCATTACTTAGAGTCATACATGCTCGACATGGTAAGAACCGTACATACATATTAAGTATCAAGCTTCAAGCCGAAAGAGTCACGCCAGAGTTGCGGAGAGTACCGTACCACTAAACAGCTCCATCCGAGACACGTTGTGGCATATGTGCAGTGGTACCTCGCTGTAATTGAGTACTATAGCCTCTGTAAGGTAGCCCTACCGAGTGTCTCGCCCGGGCTTCGGGCTAGGGGATCTAGCGGCTACTAGCACCCAGGTACCTACTGCTTAGCGAGGTCAGCAGGTCCGCTGTAGGTACCTTCGGGGCGCGAGACGGTCTGCCATCTAGCTTTCTACATAGTACATCCCTAACTACTTAAGTAACGTAGGTACTATGTATACAACCAGCGAGCAACCAACCAGTCGGCTGGATTCTATGACACATAATTACTCGATGGAAATCGCCGGCGAGGCAACAAACTTGTGGTGACCTTGGTTAAGTTTTTCTTTGGGTCGTCTTTGGGTCGTCTCTGGGTCTCTAGATGCGCATAAGGAGTCATGAGGCCAAAACGTATAATAGTAACTGGGTGCCCTTCACGACACCCGCAAAGAGGTGTACAATGCTTGAATCAAAACATCAATACAGCTTTCCGAACAAGCACCCCAGACCTTTACTTTGTACTTACATCATCCCAAGCTACCTCTCTGTTTACAACAGTAGGCCTTCCTTGCTGCATACGTACTTCATCATCTTGTTGCATTCTTGACCGTCCACAACCCGGAACTCGTCACCGATTGTCTTCCATAGGAATCTTCATCCTCTGAATTGCTTTTATCACTTCGTTCCGGCGGGATTTGAGCGTCGTCTGTAAATAACCAGCTTGGCTTGTCCGGCATTCACAAGCCAATCAGATTCCCGAATTTGCCTACCCGTCACCCAAAGCGGATAGGAAGTGGTTCTTCGTGCTCCACACCCGCCACTTACACACAAACACAAAGGAGTGAAAATATAAGAGGACCAACGGTCTCAAACAAACGGCCGGTAGGCGAAAAAAAAAAAACATATTTTGTACGGAGAAGACCAGATCATCTCGTTGGATTGGGCTTGCCTACACTGCTTCAAAATGCCACACCGCGTGGTAGATTTCTTCCGCTCTCCGAACGACAGCATCCACAGCATCAAGCAAACAGTTCAGCGCCACGCAATTCCTGTGACCCGCGGAGGATCGAAAGAGCGACAACGTCCGAGTCGCACATCGTCATATGGATCCTCGCACGATGGCGTTGTCGAAGACGATGTCTTGGCGCCCCCGGTCAAACTCCCGGAGCCCAAGAGCAAAGAACACCACCGCATAAGCTTTCCTATTCTGCCCTTAGTCGGACACAAATCGCAGAAAGATGTCTCTCAGAATCCAAGCGCGTCTTTGGATTGGAGGATCGAGTCTGGAACAGCTGTCATGTATGGGAGTCCAGAGGAGAGCACAGGAGCTTTGGTATCCGGACAGTTGCAACTGTCTGTAAAGGATGAGACTTTTGAGGCCGAGAACCTGCATGCTAGGCTGGAGATTCGCGTTACGCAGAAGAAGCCCTTCAGCACTCACTGCCAAGATTGCACAACCCAGAAGACAGAGTTGAAGAGCTGGTCCTTCTTAAGTGAGCCAACAGTTCTTAAGAGACGTAAGCAACATCTTGTTCCTCCTTATAAATCTTCCGGTAAACTAACCTAAGGCTATAGGGACACACGAATTTCCATTTTCTGTATTATTAGAAGGACACCTACCCGCCACGACTGATAACCACCTCCTCTCCATCCAGTATGTTTTCACGGCAGAAGCACGACCGCGGGACGGCGGGCTACCGCTCAAACTACAGCGTACCATTGATGTTCGACGCTCGCTACCCTCGCCGAACATGCCACATCACAGTGTACGCATCTTCCCACCAACAGACATCACCGCCAACGTGCATTATGATGCTGTCATCCACCCAAACGCCACTAGCAGGTTTACATTACGGCTCGATGGCATTGGGAAGCACAACACGAACAGCCACAGCGTAGAGTACTGGAAATTAAAACGATTATCGTGGAAATTGGAGGAGGATATCTCGACAGTGGCACCTGCGTGTCAAAAACACGCACCTAAGGCCACTTCAGGAGGAAATGCGAACCAGAATGGCAATGAGGCCAAAAAGGGCATCACACGCTCGGACACCCGCGTCATCGCCCACGCAGACCTACATTCAGGTTGGAAGGCAGACTATCGCTCTGCAGAAGGCACCATCGAGGCCGAAGTCGACTATCAGACCGGCGGATTTCCCTCGCGGACTGCAAGCTGTGATGTGCGTGGACACGACGGTACCCAAGTCTCGCACCGTCTTGTAGTGGAGATGGTGGTGTCACAAGAATACGCCCCTCTCGCACACATGCGCCACGTCACGCCCACGGGCGTGGCACGAATCCTGCGGATGAACTTCGCGGTCGTTATTACGGACCGTCCCGGGATGGGTGTGAGCTGGGACAACGAGGCACCGCCCATCTACCAAGACGTCCCTCCTTCCCCACCTCCCTATGTACCAGATACAATTCAGGACGGCACCGTGGAGGATCTGTGCCTCTCATCGGCGTCATCCACCCACAGCTCAAGCAGCTCAGATTCTGAGGATTCGGGGGAGTCAGATCTAACAAGACCGGATCTTAACGTATCTGTGACTGCAGAAAGAACATGAGAACACGACTTGCATTATTCTACAACTTTTCAACAACTGCGACTAAACAATCGAAGTCAGAGGATATAATATTGCGGGAGTTTAAAAGCGAGGGATATCACTGATTTCATTAACGCCAAATACCCCACAAAGCGATGCATTCCATTAATTTCGTTTTTTTTTTGAAACATTTCAATTTTGGAGAATAGATCTTGAGAGCTCAGGCACAAGAGAGTGGCAGATTGCTTCGTAGAATATCAGCAAGATATCTGAGCATGCTATTGTTAGATAGAAGATAATAATGATAATCAAGATGTGTCATGTCACACCTAGAATGAGTTTCACTTACTTTGATTGACCTTCGAGGCTCATTAACTCCAGCCTTGGATTTGTATGGTTGAGTAGATACTTGCTAGATTATGTAATAGATACTAGCGTGTCGATGTTGTTACGTAAGAGGCACCTCGTCGAATAGGGGTAAAACGAATGCGGGTTTCCGGGGAAAGCAAAACAGACACGACATAGAACGTAACAGACCATAGATGTAAGATTATTAAACATGTTAGATTTGCTTTCTTAATTATATGGATAGCGAATATCACTGCTGCTTTTTCTTTCTGTTCCTAGACTTTGAAATAATGAGGACAGTTCATTTACCCGATAACTAATCCATCTAGCCCATCGAATGAACAAAGAGATAGGGGTACAATATTACTCCCGAAATGTATTATACAAGAATGAAAATGGCATAGAATAAAATATGACGGGACCGATTTTGGATTCCAAAGTTAGAGTTCCAGTTCCTCGGGCGTCGTCTCGCTGCTTTCGTACTCCATGTGCTTTGACATTACCTGGTCGTGGTTGATCCTGCTCGTGGAGACTACGGTTCGGCTCTTGGTTGTGTAGCGCGATAGAGACCGTGAGACGGACTCGCTCGTCTTCGGACTATTCTCCCTTGCGTCTGGTATGCTGGGAAAAGCGTCCATTTTAGGGGTGGAGGGTCTCTCGGGGTTGAGAACAATGTCTTTGGGAGATGCAGCCTCTTCTGTTGCCGGGGCCTGGGCGGCTTGGTCTCTTGGTTCGGACCTTTGAGGGAAGATACCTTTGGGAAGCCTGGGAATTAGAGCGGATAGTGCCAGACTTGCTGCTGATAGGAGGAGTGTGGTGGTGTATGAGAGGGGATTCGTCCAACTCTCTGGTTTTTCTGGTGAAGCATTCTCGGGTGATGTCGTGCCTTGTGGGCCATCGTCTGACGGTACAATATCTGGCGAGGCACCGTTTGGTGAAGCATCGTTCGGCGTGGGGTCATCTCTCAAGATATCGTCCGGCGAGGGGTCGCTTGGAGAGATATTATCCGCTGGATTGGTGTCTGATAGGACACTAGTTGGCGATGAAGAGGGACTCAATGAATCAATACTTGCATTCTCTATGGAGGCAGAAGGAAACAATATAAATTAGCTAGCTGCTCTCTGATACATTGTAAAACGAATGCGGCCAAATATGATAACACAAGAAAGAAGTATACATATCAACCACCGTTGTTCCGTAGCCCAGTCCAAGCTCTTCCATCAGACCATCTCCTCTAACTCAAGGCTCAATGAAAATCCAAAGATTTATTTACCTTTCTTCGAGCAGCTTGACTTGTTGCAGTCAATCTTGTTGCAGCACTGATCACCACTCTTCCAGATACAGTTGTTGGCGTCGGACTTAAGATCGCACGGGACTTCCATGAATTCAAACTCGACACACATCTGCGGGTCTTGGGTGTAGAATGTTAATGCAGGCGTAATTGCAGGACAAGCAGGGCCGACACCCTCCGTGAATCCTCCAAGGCAGTACTTTCCGCAAGGCCATTTGCTGATGGAGAAGTGCCCAGCCAGGGAGAACATTGGGGTCCGACCGATGTGTCCTCCGTTGAAAGCGTGGATGAGCCATTGGTTCTTGTTGGCGCCGGTTGCCAAATCGCCGTACGTATCGCGGATGTAGACCTCAGTTGATGGGTTTATGGGCTTCCCAGCAGTGCATTTCTCGTCCAGACAGAGTTGAAATTTGCCATAACGCTGGGTCATGCTCTCAGCGGCTGCGTAATAAACGTTGTCGCCAGCAAGACCCAGTCTGTTGCCATTATCGGCTTTGAAAACATAGCACTTGCCTGGGAGATATTAGTAACAGTCTAACTAAGTGTTATTGTTTATCACTGTAATTACCAGATTCAAGACCAGAGGAGCATTCTCCATCATCACAACCCCCTTGCTCATCGGGCGTCTTCTCGCAAGTGCCGTCGGAACTCTCGGTTGTTCCCTTGGGGCAGACACATTTGCCATCGACAAGGGCTTTGCCATTCTTGCAAAATTCCTTGCATTGATTGCCATCAAAAGTGAAACCAGTCGGGCAGCACCGATAACCGCAATGGTCGTTACCGGCTAGGTCGTGTCCATCAGCGCAGCAGTCAAATGCTGTTTCAGGGCTACCGAGGAGTTGCTGTCCAGCAGCACAGCAAGCGAAATACTTCTTATCCTCGGACAATGAGGGAGAATATCCAGCTTTACTACACTTTCTCGTAGTCGTACAATCGAGGCCGTCGTCGCAATCTGGTTCTTCGTAGGTTATTGTGTTGCCTTTAACCTCCGCGCCGGGCGCAATCTCGTAGGTTGGGACATTCTTTTTGTAACTTTTGGCATTGACACCAGCTGTGCAGAGTACCAAAGCCAGGAGGCTAAGCTGTACGTTCTTCATCCTAAATGAGATGATGGGTGATATTATGACAAAAGAGGTTTGGTTTTAAAGAGGTGTGCCTTGAGCCTGCTACTAATATCTTCCTGCCACTTTGCTTGAACTTATGATACCATGATCTCTTCTTATATATTTCGACTACAATGGTGATCCTGCCATATTCGCTTCGCCTGGACTATTGCATTCAGCTCTCAACTTTCGCTAGTTGAACTTGCAGATGCGGTCTAACGACGACATACATGTAGATCAATACTCTGCGATGGGGAACCCGTAGGACTCGCCGCGCTCCGCTTGGCAACGAGTATACCTACCCCGAGCTTGTGGCGAGCTGACTGAAGTTGCTAGATCTATGATTGGAGGCTCATGAACTGTCAAACTTGGTTCACTTGCTGCTAAGCATACTCAGGTAGAAGAGTTGCGTTCAGCTTGATATGCATCTCCGAATTTGGAACCGCCCGTTACAGAGGTACGGTTGTCCCACAACCACTCTGCCAAACCAGCTATTCAGCTCGTCACCAGCCCTATGAGCTTTCCGCATCTGGCAATACACCCCGGCAACAATCTGAGCTCAACGGCTGACCAGACAGGGCCTAAATCCTACCCTATTGATTACAAAATACCATTCGAGCTGGTGCCGCCGGGGTGTAGCACTGGATGTGGAAGCGTAACGGCTCAGGTTTTTGTCCCAGTCCTCTGTTTGGCATTCCGTGTATCTTTTCTCGGGTTGAAGCCAATGAACTACCTAACTGTCTACTGCAATGCGTCTCACCAGATAATAATATTCATTTCAGCCCATATCTAGATTAAAGCAACAGATAGTGCACATACCCGCAGACATCAGCGCTCGGCACTCAGACCTCAGGCAACAAGTTAGATGTGAAAAGCACTGCATTCTTTACCCTTTCGCAGGGGGTTTCTACATGCTCTATACTACAACCACAGTGATATAACACTGTGATCCGTATCCAATAGTCTCATCAATTTCTTCAGGTCGCATGAAACGACCTGAATTCCCCATCAATTCAGCTGCGCGGGGTTCAGGTACGACATTAGCACAGTCATCACGTTGCATTCGATGACACCGAGGTCGCCTAATTTAAACCAAATCTAGCTTGTATTTATCTTTTGGAATAGGAAGCTGCATGACAAGCAGTGCCATCATCTTTTATCTAACGAGCGAAGCGATGTTATACACATAAAACCCATGGAATAAAGCATTAGGGTCGAACCAGGCATGGCAATTCATCCTTCTTAGATATGTGATGTGTCATAGATGATCTAGTCTTTGTCCTTAGGTGCATACACCTTCGTTTCGAAAATTGTCGCGGTAGTTACTGTGATCAAGTTGTCCTCATAGCCCTATCTAAGGACATCTCTCAAGCAAGAGTCAGTAATAATATCTGTAGTCAGCTGTTGAGTTCTTCATCACAATAAAAAACATACAACTCAACTAAACAATCCGATATAATTGATCAAGTTATTCCAGTTTGCGAAATGCGGCCCTGGTTAGGACCCGGACATTGATTTTCGTTCATGTTTTTTTAATATATATATTTCTAAGTACTACACTGTTTTAGCGATAGCTTCAGAGATCTTGAGATTTCGCATTGTATTGATATAAATTGGAGCTATTACCTCTGACAGACATACAAAAAGACCAGCATTGTATTTTACAACAAGGCAAGGTAGCTAGGCTTAGAACTTGATGCTATTCAGATTACAATGGTCAACTAGGGCTGCAGGAATCCTTGACCAATCAATTCCTTCTTGGCCTTGGCGGCTGGACTCGACTCTATATACAACTGGTGTGCTAGACCCCTCGAACGTTCAAAAACGACGCCGTTAGACGTTCGAGGTCTAACGGTTATTATATGGCTCCACCTACGTCCAACAAGACCTGATCGCCTAAGTCTCATTGGCTTGTTTCATGAAGCGAAGTCTGTATAACCTCACTTTCCAATATTGCCTGCATGTCTTTGAAGATCATGAACAGCCTGCAATGGCCTTTCGTACGGCCGAAGCGCACCGCAAACTACATTTTCAGCCGGTACGTGTGTAACATCTTTAGTGTTCAGTTAGAGTACATCCCCCCCCCCCCCCGGTTGTCAAGTTCCTAACAGGAACTGGCAACAATTTCCCTCTAAAAGCCTAGATGACTGTTTATTTCTGCGTGTAAAGATGGCTAATTGACCGCCAAGTTACTATCAATGGCTTCAATTATGCCACTAATGTGACCTCAGTTATACGACGAGTGTTGTGTCTCCTGTTGTCTGTGATCTTGCTAAGAGACTATCTAGAAGGTAATCTACTTTCTTAACCATCTATAATAATTCTGAAGCGTTGACTCATCCCTTTGCTAGATTTCAAGTTTTGCTGCCGGCTCCCTCAAGTCTAATAAAATAACAAGGCCGACTGCAGTCCGTGGCTATCGGATAAGAGAACAAAAAGACCTTCATAAGGACGGAAAACTACTTGCTACAGTTGAAGACGGGATTAAAGGCGGGTAAGCTAGAACAAGTAGTAGAGCCCGGCTGGACCTGCCTTTAACTTGATACGTAACTAAGTTTGCTTCCTAGTCTATCTAATCGTTCGTCTCAACTTAAAGGTCTAAGTAGTATCGGGCAACTCCCCGTTATTACACCTGTGTGGTGGCACCTAAGACAGCCTAACACGTTGCAATAAAGCAGAGTGTTGAATTCTGTATGTAATACGTAAAGACCTGGATTAACTATCTGAATAAGTAAAGGTTATTCTATCTAAAAGGTTACTTTAAGGTAAATGCTAATTGGCGTAGAAGTAGGGTGCCAGAATTATTATATAATTATTAGCGTTATCCTATTAACCTAATATACCCCCTTTTAAAAAAAAAATTACATTTTTATAATATAAAAACTATTATATATATAAAGCTTATTTACTATTAATTAATTAATCCTTTATATATAAGTTATATATTATAAAGTTAATATATTATTATTATTATTTATTTTAATTAAGCTTTTATATAATAGGAACTGGTTAATCTTTAAGTTAGTTAAAATTCTAACTTTAATTATTATTAATTAATATTATTTATTTTATAAATTAATTAGAATTTTATATTATTTATTTTATAAATTAATTAAAGTTTTAGCCTTAATTATTATTAAAAGTAATTAAACCTTAATTATTATTAAAGGTAATTAAACTTTAATTATTATAAAAAATAATTAAACCTTAATTATTATTAAAAGTAATTAAACTTTAATTATTATTAAAAATAATTAATATTAATTATTATATTAATTAATTAAAGGTTTATAAAGTTAATTATTTAAATAATTACTTTTAATTAAATATAATAAATAGGTTAAGCTTTTTATATTAATTATATATAATTTATAATAACGCATCTCCCACTTGACCTGGCCACCCAATTGAGCTGGCCACCCCCTTAACCTATATAAAACCCCTTTATTTCAACCTTTAATAACTTTACGAATATTGGTCGTACGATTTAATAATTAGTACCTTTAAATCCGTTAGTTAAAGGGGAATCTAGAGGTATTTTTTACTATTTTTTACAAAATTTATTAAGCGAGATATTAAGCAATATGCTAAAGGGGCGCTAAGCAAGGATTAATTTAGCGCTTACTTTAGCGTATTGCTTAATAACTCCGCGAATATAGGTCGTAAAAGTTAGTAAAGGGTACCGTTAAATAGCTCTTTTTATTACGAATCCAATGGTATATTTTATTATTTCATACGATTAAAATTCGTAAAGTTATTAAATTATCACGTGATTAGCGCACCGACGTTATTTGTATGGGCTAAGGGGGTGGCCAGGTCAATTGGGTGGCCAGGTCAAGTGGGAGATGCGTTATTATAAATAATATAATATAATTAATTTTATTAATATTATTATTTTTTTTATAAAAGGTAATATTTATAAAATAATTAGCTATATAATTTAATATAAAATTAAAATAATTATAAAATTTAATAATATTTTCTTTATTTATTATTATATTTTTTTTAAAATATTATTATTAATATTAATTAATTATAATAATAAATATATTTATTATATTATTTAAATATTTTATTTTTTATAACCTTTATTTTATAAATTATATTATTTAATATAAAAAGGTTATATATAAGCTTTTAAATTTAATAATTATTTTAAAGTTAATTTATATATTAATAAAAATAGTTATACCTTTTAATTTAAAATTAAAAAAAATAACCTTTATTTAATTATTATTAAAGATTATATTTTAATTACTTTTTAATAAAAGTTATAATTTATATTAAATTAAAATAATATAATAATAAATAATATAATTTATAATATTTTATATTTCTTTTATAATTAATTAAATAGTTATAAGTTATTTTATAATAAATTTAAAGATTAAATATTTAAATTATATATATAAAGCTTTTAAATTTATAATTTAAAATTTTAATAAAAAGCTTTATATAATTTAAATTAATTTTATATTTAATATTTAAACTTCCTTTTTTATATTAATTAATTTTATTATTTATTTATTTTTTTTTATATCTTTTTTTAAATTCTTTTCCTTTTATTTTTAAACTTTATTATTAAATATTATTATAATTACTTTTATTATTAATATTTTCTTTTTATTCTTTTTATTTTTAATATATCTTTTTATTTTAATATTAATTTTATATATTTATCTTTAAGCTTTTAATTCGTTTTTAATTTTTTAAATCTTTTTAAAAGTTTTATATTTATAAATAAAAATAAAAGGAATTTTAGTTTTACTTTTATAATTTTATTTATATATTAAACATTATATAATAATATTATTTTTTAAAGCTTTAAATTTAAATAAATATTTAAATATATAGTATTTTCCTTTATATTTAATATATTTTAAAAAGTAATAGTTATTTAATTTATAAAAAGATTAATATTTAATATAATATAAGCCTTTAAATAAAGCTTTATTTTTATAATATATATATATTATTTATTATTAAGTATAATAAATAAAGATTTTTTATAATTATTATAACTTTAATAATAATAAATATTACTTTAATTTTATTTATATATTTAAATTATTAATTATAATTAAAGCTATTTTACTTTTAATAATTATAAAATTAAAAAGATATATATTATTAAAGAATTTTAAAGTTATAAAGTAATATAATAAAAGAATAATATACTTTATTTTATTTTTTTATATACTTTATTTTATTTATATTAATATTAATATTAAAATATATTTAATAAAGTAAAGTTTTATTATTAAATTTTTAATATAATTTTATTAGGCTATATATAGGGTAACTATTATAATATTTTTTTTTTT